AACAGAACACTAATATACACACACACACACACATACATATATATGCACACACACACACATATATATATTACAAAAACTTTCAGAAAGATATAAAATATCTAGCCTGGAACTACAACTTGCTGTGGTTTGATAGGCCTTCCCATGTCCATATCCCTTCTTATAAGTGTCCAGGGAAGATCCCAGTTTTCACATTGCTGATGCCTGTGTAGTACAGTTTGTTTATACATTGGACTTCCTTCACATTTCTTCTAGTGGCTGGCTTATTTGAATCAGAATCCAAATGAGCATCTGCTTTTCCCTTAGGTTCTCATAATAGGTTGAAGTGCAGTGATAAAAGTGTTCTAAAAGTTGATTGTGATGGTAGTATCCAGATGAGGGTCTATTGTCTTCCTCATGCATCCCATGGCCAACAGTAACAACCCAACAGTCTTTTGTTGTTGTTGTTGTTGTGGGGCTTGACTCTGGGCCTGGGCGCTGTCCCTCAGCTTTCCAGCTCAGCGAGTGCTCTACCACTTGAGCCACAGTGCCACTTCTGGTTTTCTGATGATTAATTGGAGGTAAGAGTCTCATGGACTTTCCTGCACAGGCTGGCTTTGAACCATGATTCTTAGATCTCAGCCTCCTGAGTAGCTAGGATTATAGGAGTGAGCCACTGGCACCTGGCTACAACACATTTTTATAATAGCAACAAGAAAGCCCCATAATTTCTCTCTAATGTTTCCAATTAAAATTAACCATAGAGTTTTTACTTCTTTCATTTTTGGTGTTGTTGTTACTTGTCTTTTTTTTTTTTTTTTTGTCCTGGGGCTTGAACTCAGGGCCTTGGCACTGTCCCTGAGCTTGTTTTGCTTAAGGCTAATGCTTTACTACTTGAGCCACAGTACCACTTCCAGCTTTTTCTTTTGAGGAATCAAACCCAGGGCTTCATGCATGCAAGGCAAGCACTCTACCATTAAGCCACATTCCCAGCCAACTTGTCTTGTTTTTGTTACTATGAACATCTTGGCTTCTTATGTCATTGTTTGCTTTACTCTTAAATAGTTTCAGGATAAGTAGGTTAAAATTAGCTCTTAATGACAAGGTGTAGACTAAAAGCTTAAGATCTCTTCACATCTCTGCTTGTTCTTAAAATACCCCCTTTATACTGAGAACATGCAGTTTGGCTTTTTGTTCCCCCTTTTAAAAAGCAAAAAGTCAGCCAAGGCACCGGTGGTTTACGCCTGTAATCCTAGCTACTCAGGAGGCTGAGATCTGAGGATTGAGATTTAAAGCCAGCCTGAGCAGGAAAGTCTGTGTGACTCTTATCTCCAATTAATCACCAGAAAACCAGAAGTGGCACTGTGGCTTAAGTGGTAGAGTGCTTGCCTTGATCTGAAGAGCTGAGGGATAGCGTTCAGGCTGAGATCAAGCCCCATGACCGACCAAAAAAAAAAAAAAAAGCAAAGAGGCGTCTCAAAAATACTTCTACCACCAACTTTATATCAGACTCATTTGTCTCAATTTATTTTGAGGTTTTAGGAATTACATGTTTTTCTTTGGATTCTAATTTGTTGTCTTAGTGATGAAAGCTTTGCATGATTTCAAAGTGAAAACTAGTAACTCAGTAGATTTGGAAAAGATCCCAATATAACTCAGTTTTAATACTTGCTGTTTACCTATGATTGTGGTTTGTCCTTGCAATATTTCTTTTGGCAGATCTAAACAATTGTGTTTTAGATTTCTCAGGTCCTATATGAAAGGTTCCATGTTTCCCTCCTGCTTTTTCCTTCTGCAGCTCACTCCATGGCATGTTATTGTGCAAGTTACAGGCACCAGTTTCTCACACCTGTAATCCTAGTCATTCTGGAGGGTGAGATCCAGAGAATTGTAGTTCAAATCTAGTCCAAGCCAGGTGCTGGTGGCTCACGCCTATAATCCTAGCTACTCAAGGCTGAGATCTGAGGATCACGGTTCAAAGCCAGCCTGGGCAGGAAAGACCGAGAGACTCTTATCTCCAATAAACCACCAGAAAACCAGAAGTGGCGCTGTAGCTCAAATGGTAGAATGCTCGCCTTGAGCTAAAGAGCTGAGGGATAGCACCGAGGCCCAGAGTTCAAGCCCCACGACTGACAAAAACAAAACAAAACAAAAAAAACACTAGCCCACACAGACAAGTCTGTCTCCAAAATAGCCAGCAAACAGTAGGGCTAGAGGAATAGCTCAACTAGTATGTTACCAGCCTAGCAAGTAGATGGCCCTGAATTTGAACTAAAAAAAAAAAAAAAGAATATCAAGCAGGAGTTGAAAAAAATTTATAAAGCTCTCTCTCTCTCTCTCTCTCTCTCTGTCTTTCTTTTTTTGGTCCATCATGGCCCTTGAACTTAGGGCCTTGGTGCTATCCTGGAGCTATTTTGCTCAAGACTAATGCTCTACCATTTTGAGCCACAGCACCACTTCCAATTTTCTGGTGGTTAATTGGAGATAAGAGTCTCACAGACTTTACTTTCCTTCCTGGGCTGGCTTTGAACTGTGATCCTCAGATCTCAGCTTCCTGAGTAGCTAGGATTACAGGAGTGAGACAGCCATCAGGACCTGGCTTTTTAAAGCTTTTTCTATGAGTGTAGTAGAAGGTACTAGGAATTGAACCCAGGGTCCCAAACATATATTGAGCACATGCTAAGCTACCAAGCCATATCTCAAGCCTCTAAATAAATCAGTTTTAACATTTTGTTGGTAATTCAAGCATGTCATTGCTTGCTTCATTGGGTGGTTGGGAGAATTAAAGGTATTAATACAACCTAGTGCCAGTGGAGTATTCCTGTAATCCCAGCTACTCAGGAGGCTGAGGTCTAAGGATCTCAGTTTGAAGCCAGCCTAGGCAGGAAAGTCTGTAAGACTCATTCCTCCAATAAACTACTCAAAAAAAACCATAAGTGGCTTGGAAGGTGGCTCAGTGGTAGAGTGCTTGCCTTGCATGCATGAGGCTCTGGGTTGGATTCCTCAGCACCATATAAGCAGAAAAAGCCAGAAGTGGCACTGTGGCTCAAGCAGTAGAGCGCTAGCCTTGAGCTGAAGAGCTGAGGGACAGGGACCACGCCCAGAGTACAGGCTCCGTGACCGACCAAAAAAAACCAAAAAACCATAAATGGCATTGTGGTTCAAGTGGTAGAATGCTTGCCTTGAGCAAAAGACACTGAGGGAGAGCATCCAGGCCCAGAGTTCAAACCCTACAACTGGCAAAAAAAGACAACTAAAAAGGCATTAATATATATGAAGTCTTTTTAAATCTTTTAAGTAATTTACAAAGGAGTTTCCAATCAACATATCATTTTATAAATACAGTGCATCTTGATCAATGTCACATCTTCCTTTGCTTTCCACCATCTCTCCCATATACTCAAATTACCTGGTTCCATTTTCATGTGTGCACTGAATATAATGGTTGTATTTGGTCATATAAAGTTTTTACAGCTGTACCTGACAACTGTTATTTTGCCTGCTCTTTTGCTATAGGTTAGCTTTTTTTTTGTCGGTTGTGGGCCCTGAACTCTGGGTCTGGGCGCTGTCCCTCAGCTCTTCAGCTGTTGACTAGCGCTCTACCACTTTCACTTCCGGCTTTTTCTGCTTATGTGGTGCTGAGGAATCGAACCCAGGGCCTCATGCATGCAAGGCAAGCACTCTACCACTGAGCCACCTTCCCAGCACCTAGATTAGCATTTATAGTATTATAACATCCAGCCTTAGGTGCAGCCTGGACACTTAAAGTTTTTCGGTTTTTTTTTTTTTGGGTCCAGTTGTGGGGCCTGAACTCTGGGCCTGGGTGTTGTCCCTCAGCTCCTCTGCTCAAGGCTAGCACTCTACCACTTGAGCCACAGCGCCACTTCCAAGTGCTGACAGAACCTTCTTATTGCTCTGTGCTCCAACGCAAAGCATTCTCTGTCCCTACCACCTTGGTGGCAGATCTAGCAGCTCTCCCTTGGGCCTTCCTCCATTCATGTTACACTGTGCTAATTTTAGCTAGAAAAACAGCATGTGGGGTGGAGGGTAAATGGATGAGGGATGGCAGAGATGTAGACCATGTCCTAAAATTTTTCATACTTATTCAGTTATCTTCATTTTTGTACCTCTCCCCTTCCATTATATGTTAGCTATTTTGTGAGTCCTCAGTGCCTTGAAGACTTAACAAGACAGTCAGGTGTTCAGACAGGGCAGAAAGCGCAGGGCTTTGTCCTTTGCTGCCCTGCCAGAAGGATGGGCATTTCCATGGAGGGAAAGATGCGTCACAGAAATAAGATTTTACCCAGACATCCCTTCACTGACCACAAGACATGGTAGTAATTTCTGTGGAAAATCAAATAATGCTGTTTTGGGGTGCATAAAGGATAGTCAGAGGCAGGCCCTGTTGGGCATTTTCAAAAATGTGACATGGTGGCTTTCTCCTGCCACCTTCAAGTGGTGCATTGCTCCCTTTGCTTATATGGTCAGCAAAAGAGCACAATTCTCAGCAGGCACAGCTAGGGGCACTCCATGCAGGTTGGCTGCACATATTACGTCAGCAGGAGGAAGGCAGCAACAGGCTGAGCATGAAAGTGAAAGCACTTCCATACCAATAGTGGAAAGGCAACAGCTGCCTGCATCTGCTTCTCAGAGGCTCTGTGCTGCTCTCAGGCCAGCTGCTGAGTGGAGACTTGAGATGCCTGTCTACCTCCTTTTCCACTGAGTGTCCTTCCTATTAGGTGGAGTAGCTGCCTTTTGAAGGCCCTCAGTACCCCTGTTGCTTCTTTATTTCTTTGTGTCTTTTATTGACCTCCAAAGGATCACTGACAGCTCTCTGGGAGATAGATTCCAGAGGAGGCTGAGCTGAGCTGAACAGTCTCAGTCAGCCCCAGAGGCCAGTAGGGGGGAAAGGAAGAGCCTCAGCTGGGTGGCAGGGCAGGGTGAGGGGGTGGGAAAAAAGAGTCACATGGTTATGCTGCTTATTTTTGGCATTAAATTGCTTCCTGTTTTTTTTTTATTTTTAGGACGAATACCTTTCCCTGGTGGCCCGGCTCATTATCCATTTTCGGGACATTCGTAAGTAAGATTTTATATTTCTGGGTTGTCAGGAACTCTGTGAGAGGCCAGCTCTGTTGCTATGTGTTGAGATTTTCTTTTTTTTTTTTTTTTTTTTTCCGGGTCCGGTCCTGGGGCCGGAACTCTGGGCCTGGGCGCTGTCCCTCAGCTCTTCAGCTCAAGGCTAGCACTCTACCACTTGAGCCACAGCGCCACTTCCGGCTATTTTCTTTTTGCTTATGTGGTGCTGAGGAATTGAACCCAGGGCCTCATGCATGCCTGCAAGCGCTCTACCACTGAGCCACATTCCCAGCCCTGTAATGAGATTTTCTAGGCAAGGCTTTCTGAGTAAGCTGTATGAATTGGAACATCTGTATCTGTTTGCCTGTTTCTGGGAAGAGCCCTACTGTGCAACACTTGATTCTAGATTACCTCCCACCTCCCCCCCCCCCCCCCAAAAAAAAAAAGCCTCAAAAATGCAGATGCTAACACATTGGAAATACTGGCCTCCAAATGGTCTAAAGTAGACTCCTATTTTCACTTGTCCACTTCATTTTCCTTTGTATAGGAATTTTGCTGTTTTCTCTAAACAATTCTTACACAGTTTACCCTAGAACACATACTTTCTTACCTAGATGGTTTTATTGATCCACAAAGACCTGATCTAAATATACATTTCTGTGAAGTTGTAAGCTTTAGGGGTCATCTTCTTTTTTTTGGGTCCGGTCGTGGGGCCTGAGCTCTGGGCCTGGGTGCTGTCCCTCAGCTCTTCAGCTCAAGGCTAGCACTCTACCACTTGAGCCACAGCGCCACTTCTGGCTTTTTTTCTTTTTGCTTATGTGGTGCTGAGGAATCGAACCCAGGGCCTCATGCATGCAAGGCAAGCACTCTACCACTGAGCCACCTTCCCAGCCCCAGGGGTCATCTTCTTAAATCTTCACTTCTTGCTCTTTGCCTTGCTGAAGGGCCCTTCATGTACTATGGTGGCCTCTTTGATTCAGAAGATTCTGCTTTGGTGCTGTTGGCCTGGCAAGGCAGCAGCCCTGACTCTTCAGAAATGAGTTTTCAAAACCAGTGCTCCCAGATGGACACAGCTTATGAAGGGAATCTGGGCTGTTAGCCATTCTGGGTTTTAGCCAGCAGCCTTCCTAGCCACCATAGTTGTATAAGCATTGGAGACAGGCTCTTCTTGACACCAAGCATTCCCCTGTGGTTTAACAACAATTTCAGTGTGGGTTGTAGAAGCAGCTACAGCTTTAACAGTCATTGAGGCAAATGGGGACATTTGAAAACCTCAGTGGGGTTGGTGACAGCACTGTAGAATTCAGATGGTCTCTCTTTGGGGGTGTTCAGAAGGACCTGAGAAATGTAGGAGAAGGAGCCAGAACCTAGAGAACATACAACCAATATCCTGGTATGGACCCTTATGCCATCCTCTTTAGGACTGTGGCCTGCTAACTCACACAGCCCATAGTTTCATGGATTTACATGAAGGGACTGAGTAGAAGACTCTGGGTCATCAGCTGTTAGGTCATTTCCTGTCTCATTTCTAGGCAGGATCAGTTTAATTTTAGCAAATGACCTCTGTTTGGATGCCTACAAAACTGATCCAGGGAAATATGTGTTTAAGTAAGACTGCTTAGCTGGCCTTTAGTGGCTCATACCTGTAATCCTAGCTACTCAGGAGACTGAGATTTGAAGATTGGGGTTCAAAACCAGCCTGGGCAGGAAAGTTTATGAGGCTCTTACCTCCAATTAATCACAGAAAAAACTGGTACTATGACTCAAGTGGTAGAGTGTTAGCCTTGAGCAAAAAGGAGCTGAGAGACAACATCCAAGCCCAGAGTTTAAGTCCCATGACCAACAACAACAAAGTAGAAAAGAAAATTTTTTTAAGTAGGACTGGGAATGTGGCTTAGTGAGAGTGTTTGCCTTGCATTCATAAAGCCCTGGGTTCCATTCTTTAGTACCACATAAACAGAAAAAGTCAAAAGTGGTGCTGTGGCTCAAGTGCTAGAGCACTAGCCTTGAGCACAAAGCTCAAGGATGGTACCCAGGCCCAAAGTTGTAGCCCCAGCACTGGCCAAAAAAAAAAAAAAAAGCAACTGGGAGTGTGGCTTAATGGTAGAGAGTCCTTGCCTAGCATGCATGAAGCCCTAGGTTCCATTCTTTTTTTTTTTTTTTTTTGGGTCCGGTCGTGGGGCCTGAACTCTGGGCCTGGGCACTGTCCCTCAGCTCTTCAGCTCAAGGCTAGCGCTCTACCACTTGAGTCACAGCCCCACTTCTGGCTTTTTTCTTTTTGCTTATGTGGTGCTGAGGAATCAAACCCAGGACCTCATGCATGCAAGGCAAGCACTCTACCACTGAGCCAACTTCCCAGCCCGCTGGGTTCCATTCTTAAGTATCACATAAACAGAAAAAATCCAGAAGTGGTGCTATGGCTCAAGTGGTAGAGTGCTAGCCTTGAGCAAAAGAAGCTCAGGGACAGTGCCCAAGCCCTGAGTTTAAGCCCCGGGACTGGCAAAAAAAAAAAAAAAAAAAAGGTAAATAAGACTGCTAACTTGATTTTTTTGTGTGTGTTTTCTATAGATAACAAGAAATCGCAAGCTTCTGTCAGTGGTAAGAGTTTTTCCTTTTGAACTAAAGTATTTTCAGAAAGCCTCAGATTTAGAGTGGCAGGAATGCTTCATGTGTCTGAGCAAACTTGTTACTAGAGGGGAATAGTCAAAGGATTCAAAAAAAATGACCAGCCTCTCCCAGCCTTTGCTCTACCCTGTCATATGCAAATTAGTCAGTCAATGCTTCTCCATCCCATGTCCTCCAGCAAAAGATTATACAAACTCACAAAGTTATTAATTCATTACCTAAAAGTTGTGAGCTCTGCCGGGCGCTGGTGGCTCACGCCTGTAATCCTAGCTACTCAGGAGGCTGAGATCTGAGGATCGTGGTTCAAAGCCAGCCTGGGCAGGAAAGACCGTGAGACTCCTATCTCCAATAAACCACCAGAAAACCGGAAGTGGCGCTGTAGCTCAAATGGTAGAGTGCTCGCCTTGAGCTGAAGAGCTGAGGGACAGCGCCCAGGCCCGGAGTTCAAGCCCCACGACCGACAAAAAAAAAAAAAAAAAAAAAGTTGTGAGCTCTCTGGAAGAGAACTATCATGATACATTTAGTGTAATAATATATAGTAGCATGTCATACAGAATAGCTTTGAATTCACTTCCTCAAGTTAGAAAATTTGTGAGTTCAGAAATCTTTCTACTTTAATTTCAAGATTCTTTTTTTTTTTTGGGGGGGGGTCTGGTCATGGGGCCTGAACTCTGGGCCTGGGCGCTGTCCCTCAGCTCTTCAGCTCAAGGCTAGCGCTACCACTTGAGCCACAGCGCCACTGACAACTTTTTTCTTTTTGCTTATGTGGTGCTGAGGAATCGAACCCAGGGCCTCAGGCATGCAAAGCAAGTGCTCTACCACTGAGCCACCTTCCCAGCCCTAATTTCAAGATTCTTGTTGGTTTGTTTTAGTCTTTGTTTTTAGTGCCAGTCCTAAGGGCATGAACTTAGGGCTTGGGCACTGTCCCTGTGCTTGTGTGCTCAAGGCTAGCACTTTACCACTTGAGCCATAGCTCTACTTCTAGATTTTTGGTGTTTTATTGGAGATATGAGTGCCATGGGCTGGTTTTGAACCACAATCTTCAGATTTCAGCCTCTTGAGTAGCTAGGTTTACAGGTATAAACCTCTGCTGCCCACATAATTTCAAGATTTTATCATATAAAAGGAGTTATGTCAATTGATCTCCTGTTTCTGCTTACTGAGCTGCAGATACAGGCTTGCTGGCAATTCTGTAGACTGTCAGATATGGCTCAATGTTAGAATGCCTGCTTGCCTAGTATGCAGAAGGCCATGAGTTCAAACCCCAACAACGCATAAATAAGTAAACAAACAAACAAATAAATGGTGTCATAGGTTGTATGGCTGAAAATGCTGGATGCTCGTGTCTGTATAGGCCAGTGCTAACCAAGGCTGGACAAGACCAAGTACATGAGGTCTAGAGATTGCCGGGCTTTGTGAAGGATAGGATCACTGGGTACTACCTAATTATGTGGTGAGGCAACCCAGCTAAGACACACTTACCTATAGGTAACTGCTATGAATTGTGATGATGGTATCATGTTCCTTGTCCTTGGTTGTGGCATTGCTCACTGAGCTGAGTATGTTGCCCTGAGGCTTGTACACACAACTTTTCCTCAGTGCTCTGTGGAGCCCTGTCATAAACCCCCCCTTCCCACCCCCCACACCCCTGCCCCGGTAGCCTGTCTGGTATGCTCCTCTTAGTATAGAGCCATATTGGGGCTGTGTCCTGCAAAGATTTGGCAGAAGAGGTAGTGCCTAGTTATATCAGCCTACTTGTGAAGAGTATCTGTCTGGCCCCTCCTGCTTCCCTGCTCTTGCCTGTGTGATTACCCAGTAGGAAAGCTGGATAGCCAGGATGAGCATGGCTGCTAATTGCATTAAAAGCCTCTGTCCAACTTTTAAGTTATTTGTGCACACATCAGAGGAATTGTCACTCAGTATTAGGACTTTGTTACAGGCTTATCAGGGGTACAGGGTATATTCTCAACTCTCAGGAGGTTCATGTTTTGACAGCAATGACTGACATGCCCAGAGTCCTAGTTTCAGTATTTGGGAGGCTCCAGGATTCTGACTTTTGCCACTTGGGATTTTTGAGTAGATGAAGTCTGTGGGTTGGAGGAGGTCTGTGCCCCATCAGCCTCATACATGTGAGCCTGCCCAGTTCAAGGTGTTGTCCTATGACACTGTGCCCTTGTTTCCATAGATCCAATGAATGCACTGCAGAGCCTGACTGGTGGACCAGCTGCAGGAGCTGCTGGGATTGGCATGCCTCCTCGAGGCCCAGGACAGTCATTGAGTGGAATGGGTGGCCTTGGGCCTATGGGACAGCCAATGCCCCTCTCAGGGCAGCCACCACCTGGGACCTCGGGAATGGCTCCTCACAGCATGGCTGTTGTGTCTACAGCAACTCCACAGAGTGAGTACCGTTCTTCCTGAAGAATTTGCTACTTTTTTGTTTACAGTGGTATTGAGAAAAATGGAGAAGCCTCATGTATTATGTGTGATGGTTATAGAGAGAAAAAACTTTTAAGTCCTCTTTGAGCTACCAGGAGGGTTGAGTGATACTGAGCTTATCCTGCAAGGTAAGGGTGGGGGAGGGAAGACTTGTTATGAGGCTGAGGAGGGCTTGTATTTTGTTACTGAGATAGAAACATTGCATTTCAAGGGACTCAGCCATCAATCAGTGCCACGAAGGGTCCCATATCCCCACAGCCTTGTCCTGAAGGATGTCTCTTTTGACATTGCTCCTGCCCTTGAGTCAGTGCTGGCTGTGGCTCACAGCCATGCCTTCATCAGGCTCTCTTTCCTTAAAGGAAGGAGGTGTTTTGTCTTCTTTATCCTCATTATCCCTGCACACTGTGCCTTGGCTAGAAGTAAGCTGGCTTTCTTTTTATCATCAGTTTCTTTTTCTTTTTTTTTGTCAGTCATGGGGCTTGAACTCTGGGCCTGGGCACTGTCCCTCAGCTCTTCAGCTCAAGGCTAGCACTCTACCACTTGAGCCACAGTACCACTTCTGGTTTTCTGTGGTTTTATTGGAGATAAGAGTTTCATGGACTTTTCTGCCTGGACTAGCTTTGAACCATGATCCTTAGATCTCAGCATCCTGAGTAGCTAGGATTACAGACGTGAGCCACTTGCTCCTGGCATCAGTTTCAATTTTATAGTAAGAAATGATTTTGAAATGTATTGGTTTAGGGTACCCATATGATGCCAGTTGCTGGTTGGCTCATCCCTATAATTCTAGCTACTCAGAAGGCTGAGATCCAAGGGTGGAAATTCAAAACCAGCCATTAAATTCTTATCTCTAGTTAACTACCAAAAAACCAGAAGTGGAGCTGCAGCTCAAGTGTCAACTTCGAGTGAAAAAGCTAAGGGCCAGTGCCCAGGCCCTGAGTACAAATCCTAGTATTCACATGCACACATACACAAATGCTCACATGAGTAATTCTCCTAAAACTGTCCTAAAGCACTTAGTCACAAGTTGAATGATGAAGCTCTGGTATCCTGCCCATACTCTCCCCAGCCTGACCCTAGCCCACATCCTGTTTTTAACTTCTATGAGACCTGGTCTACTGGGTGGCACTAGCTGAAAGTTGAAGTGGTTCTCAACTACATCCTGTTGCTCTCTGTTAGAGACCCTCTCTACACTGACTCCTTGCCTTTCGATCTTCCTGAAAGGGATAGTGGTACCCAGGGAGTGTTTCTCCCTAATGCCTTCTGTAAACACCAACACACAATTAAGGTCAATTCAGGCCTTTATCCAGTGTCCAGACTTTGTGACAGACTTTGCCAGAGAGTCTCAGAGAGCAGGCTTAGCTGGGTGCTGGTGGCTCAGACATATAATGCTACTCAGGAGGCTGAGGGTTACAGTTTGAAGGCAGCCCAAGCAGGAAAGTCCATGAGATTCTTACCTCCAATTAACTACCAACAAAAGCCAGAAGTGGAGCTGTGACTCAGGTGGTAGAACACTAGCCTTGAGCACAAAAGGTCAGGGATAGTACCCAGACCCTGAGTTCAAGCCTCAGGACTGACATACAAAAAAGAAGCAGGCCTGGAGACACTGGTGGTCTCTATGTGACACTGGTTAGCTGTGGTAGAAAGTTACATAATCAGCTCAAATAACACTTTCTACCTGATCGCCCTGTCTGATAAATGAGAGTTATTGAGGATTTTGTTTGCTTTTTGCTTTTAACTGCCCTCAGCAGCCTGAGAAGCTGTGACAGTGACCTTGCCCTGTAGTTCAGGCAGTCTGTGCGGTGGTCTAGGGCTGCATCTCTTAAGTCTGGATCTCTTTTCCAGCCCAGCTCCAGCTCCAGCAGGTGGCGCTGCAGCAACAACAACAGCAGCAGCAGCAGCAGTTCCAGCAGCAGCAGGCTGCACTACAGCAGCAGCAGCAACAACAGCAGCAACAGTTCCAGGCACAGCAAAGTGCTATGCAGCAACAGTTCCAAGCAGTAGTGCAGCAGCAACAGCAGCAGCTTCAACAGCAGCAACAGCAGCAGCAACACTTGATTAAGTTGCATCATCAAAATCAGCAACAGGTACTAGGTTTCCCTGTTCCCACAGTGAGTCTCTGTCTTGAAGTTCATGAGCCCAGAAAGTTGTCAGCCTCAGTACTAGATGTGGGGAACTTAAGCTGTCCCTCCTCCATGGGCTTCCTGAAAAATATGGGACAGAAGATACTGTACTGTCTTGGGAAGAGGATGCTACATAGTTCAGAAGGTTCTCTCAGATAGCCCTTGGCTCTGGATTGCAGACCTGCCGTATGCCAGGAGAACTGGAAGTCTTTCATATTAAGAGTTAGCTCCCACCTGTAATCTTAGGAGGCTAAGACCTGGAAAGATCATAGATTAAGCCAGCCTGAACAGAAAAGTCCACAATACTGTATCTCCAATTAACCAATAAAAATACTAGACTGGAGGCATGTCTCAGGTGGTTGAGTACCAGGCTGTGAACAAGAAAGCTAAGCAAGCTCATAAGACCCTGAGTTCATGCCCCAGAATGGGCATGAGAAAAAAGGAAAAGAAAAAACAAAGACACTAACTGAAGCAAGAAGAGCAAGAAGGAATTCTGAGATTCAGTTTTCTTCAGAGAATATATATGCGTTCAGTTTTGTTTCTGCTGCTCTTTGGTACAATACCAGTTCAACTCTCCAGCTGTTTGTTAGGTCAGTGGCAATGTCATCTTAGGGATCTTGCTGGCCAGAAGCTGCTTTGTCTTCACATGGCTTGTGTTCAGAAGTTAGACATGTTCAGTGTCTATCCTCTTGGAAGGTTGAGGGAAGAAAGCCCCAAAGGGGCCTGCTGGTCCTTGGATCTTAGCAATACCTCTCCCAGAGCTGACAGTGTTTGCTCGCTGTCCTCATCCTATAGAGCAGACTTTGAGATCCTCACAAGGCTCATACTGCTGACTTCTCACTCTACTCCAAAGTAGCATTAGAAGAATTCTGCAGCTTCTAGCCCACCTGCTATGGCACTGTACCTATTATTTTACCTCTTACGAACCTTAGATATTTCTCTTGAACCATCCCAGAGACAGACCAGTCTCTATTGTCCAGGGCACAGGCACACACTTGATGTGTCTTTCATGACTGGAAGATGGCTGGCGTGGTCCTCAGAGGCACAGAGCCCTTGTGGTAAATGTGCTTCCCTCCCTGTGTCAGAGGTCAGCCAGGCAGGCCTTCCTGAAAACTGAATTTATGCCTCCAACTGGACTCTATGGGATCGAGGATGGCATAAGGAGCAGCTGAAGCCCCAGAGGCTTATGGGTAGTAACCCAGTGCTATTATTCTCTTTTTAGATACAGCAGCAGCAGCAGCAGTTGCAGAGAATGGCACAGCTGCAGCAGCAGCAGCAGCAACAGCAGCAAGTGATGCAGGCCCAGCCTCCAATACAACAGCCTCCAATGCAACAGCTGCAGCCTCCTCCTTCCCAAGCCCTCCCACAGCAGCTGCCACAGTTGCATCACCCACAGCACCACCAGCCTCCGCCACAGACGCAGCAGCCCCAGGTTGCTCAGAACCAACCACAACTCCCGCCACAGTCACAAAGCCAGCCTTTGGTTTCACAGGCTCAAGCTCTCCCTGGACAGATGTTGTACACTGCTCAGCAGCAGCTGAAATTTGTGAGTACCTAAGGTCCACTGTGGAGCACATGCTTCTCTCCTCATGGTGTCACATATAATCAGTGGCTCTGTTAGCAGCAGTTCTACTAAGGCTAACTTGAGTTTAGGAAGGTTTCTTGCTGCAGTGGGCTTGGGGAGCCCCTCCCCAAGCCAACCCTCATATCTGGCTCCATAGTACAGGCCAGCAAGAGAGATACTTCCACATGCTACACAGAGATTCACAGATATGTGGCTATGTGGAAAGTTGTAGTAGTGTCCATTGGGCATTAAGACGGTGATGGTTAGATTGATATATAATCGCACCACGTGGGAGGATGTGCTGGGTATCAGGCGTCCATAGTGCTTTACTTGTTGCTGGGAGCTATGTTCTATGCCAAGATTTATTTTTATTTTTATTTTTATTTTTTTTTGTGTGTGTGTGTGCTGGAAATTGAAATCGGGGTCTCATGTAAGCTAAGCATGTGCTTTTGCACTGAACTACACCTCCAGCCTTGAGCCAGGTTCTTTTAGCCTTGTCATTACCATATTTTTGAGAGGCATATTCACACAAAATACTATTTATTTTCAATCTCATTGTACATCTGTGTACAAAACGAGTCCTATTTTAACAAAGGACAGAATATTGCCACCAAGCAACAAGGTCCATTTGAACATCTTTTGAGCTACTCTGAGTTTTGCCCTTTTCTATTTGTGATTCATTGAATGGCATGAGGACAAGGGCCTTGCCTGAGCTGAGTGAGAGGCCTTGCAGAGGCACAACATCCTGGGGTGTAGTGAGGAATGGATATGGTCCCTTACTTGTCACCTGAACCTTTGTGAGCTTCTTGGTGGGCTGTGCTTCTTGTGGGGATTGGTTCTGGCATCCACAAATGTCTAGGGAGGAGTTCCCTATTTGCACCTGGCCAGTGTGAGTCCCTTGTGGAGACTTCTCCACGTGGAGGTCCCACAGTTGTCTGCTTTTCCTGCCTCGCTCTGTTGCCACATTCATCTTTCCAGCTCAACCTGCTACAGGCTGGCAAGCCCTAGTTTCCTTCAAGGTGTCTGGGCTCTGAATGAGGCTCTTGTGAACTGTCTGTGTTTGACCAGAAGGATGAGTGAGCTGGGCTGTGGACTTAGCTTTGGAAACCATCGCTTTGCTCCCATGATGGTTGGTGTGATGAGTATATAGAGAATCCCAGTGGAGTTCTCAGTGCTGAATCCCAGTGCAGTCTCTCTCCAGAGTTAGGAAAGTGGGGCTTGGCCTTGCAAACTTGATATTTCTGATTACTTTATGGGACCAGGAATGGAAAGTAAAGTGACATCATAGTCTGAAATCGTGATAGTATCATCCCCCACCTCAACAAAAGGCTTATCAGTTCTCACAGCTCCCACACAGGTAGTGGGTGCCCTGCTCGCTGCCCTGGGTAGCTCCAAGTTGCATTCTCCATTCCTCCCTCAAGGTCCGAGCTCCGATGGTGGTTCAGCAGCCGCAGGTGCAGCCCCAGGTGCAACAGGTACAGCCTCAGGTGCAGCAGCCGACAGCAGTGCAGACAGCTCAGGCTGCCCAGATGGTGGCTCCCGGAGTCCAGGTGAGGGCCTTGAGAGCCAAGGGCTTCTTTAGTCACTAGCAGGTACATGTGCAACCAAGCACAAAGCTCAACAATGAGGGTCCTGGTTGGATTAGGGGCCACATTGGTAGTATGGGGTCCTCTTCCCCTTAAACTCTACAAGATACTCCTAAGGTCCTCAGGGTAGCTAGCTCTGCTCAGGTCCAACTGGGACCTAGTAGTTGCATAGTGCATGTTGTTCCCACTTCCTTGGGCTCCCATCATCTTTGCCTCCTTTCTATTACCCTGAGAGGTGATTAGAGATGAGTACCAACTTCAACTTCCCTCAGCTTCCACTGAGCTAACTGGGGTCAAAGGCAACTTTCTAGAAACTAGGAAGAAGACAGGAATAGCACTAGGCATCTGGCTTCAGAATGCTTGCATGAGCATGTGCTGCAGCAAGTAAATGAGAGAGGGCATCAGAAGCTTGCCCACCACTAGAGACTCCAGTACCTTGTGGGAAAGGTGTGCACTGCCCTCATGTTGCTAATTGGCTTGCCCCATTCTCTGAGTGTTAGATACCTTTGGGACAATGGAATGCAGGAAGCTTTGCTTCCTGTGGGTTAGTTTCTTCAAGATGTAGCATATCTTGTGTGTCAGATGTCATTTCACAGCGGAGATGTAAGCTTGGTGACAGCCCTTCGCTCCCACTTTACCATTTAGTCTCTGGGACATAGTCCCAAGAGAAGCATATTGATGAAGGGGGCTGAGGTAACTGGCAGCTTCCTGTATCACCTGCTCAGATGTGGCTTTGTGTGAAACATAAAACAGATTTGAGCTTTGTGGCCAGGGCAAGCTAACCCCATGTGCTACTGTAGTATAGGGTATGTCCTTAGGCATTGGAGAGGCAACTTCTTTTGGTCTGTGCAGAAAAGGATGTGGCATGTGTTTCAAATCGGTTCAGTAGTGGAACATTGTGCTTGTCCTGCCAGTGGAAGTTATTCCCCTTATTCTTCATGACCTTCCTCCCTACTTCATGGATACCTCTGTACCTCTGTTCTGACCAACTAGGAAAAGGAGCAGCTCTTTTCTGGTCTCTTGAGTATTCGAAAAGTAGGCAGCTAAGTAATGGGCAGTGTACAGCTAGCATGTTCACAAGCTGCTAGCTTGAAGTGTGTGACCTGTGGCGTGGCTGGTATCTCATCAGCTACCAGATGCAGGATGCTTCCTTCTGTGTGTGCTCAGAATCCTGTACTAAAACCAGTGTGTAGGGCACTGCTCTTCCAACCTGCGTGCTCCATAATTCCCTGCTTCAGGTGGAGGCCTGTTCTGCTAGCATAGGGCCAAGTCTAGGCAAGTCACCTCTGGAGCACATGCCTTGTGCAGTGTTGAGGGTTAATGGCAAGTGAAGCCAAGGTGGCTTCAGTCCTCTCTGTTCAGATGGGGACCATAGAAATATTGCAGGTCTAAGAGAGGGAGAATTTTTTTTTCTTTTTTTCTCTTCTTTTTTTTTTTTGGTTGGCTGTGGGGCTTGAACTCTGGGCCTGGGCACTGTCCCTCAGCTCTTCAGCTCAAGGCAAGTGCTCTACCACTTGAGCTACAGCGCCACTTCTGGCTTTCTGGTGGTTTTATTGGAGATAGGAGTCTCATGGTCTCTCCTGCCCGGGCTGGCTTTGAACCGAGATCCTCAGATCTCAGCCTCCTGAATAGCTAGGATTACAGGCGTGAGCCACCAGCGCCCAGCAAGAGGGAGAATTTGCTTTATTTCCAAGTGGGTTTGGATCTTTTATATGTATACCAGTAATAGGACTTGAATTCTGTGTCTTACATCTTTCCTCAGCTTTTTCACTCAGCTGGCACACTACCACTGATCCATACTTCCATTTCCAGCTTTTTGCTGACTGATTAGAGAGGTTTTGCTGCCCAGGATAGCTATGGACTTTTGATTCTCAGTTCCCAGCCTTTTGAGGAGCTAGGATTATAAGTGTGAACCATTGGTACGCAGTGTGAGTTTGGATTTTTGACAACTGCATCATCAGTGTTTTAAGGAGCGTGGTCCAAGGCCCTGTGGCACACTGTGCCTTGGGTTGTTGGCAGTGGGATTCCTAAGCACTGGTGGCAGAAGCTTCATTAATTCTCAAAGTCCAAGAACAAGTTATATCCATCTATGTTTGATTTTTAGTCCAGATTGTGACCACCTCAAGATTCAGTTTTCCTGAAGGCTTTCTTACAGTTCTTTATCTTACAATGTCAGTTTAGTGAAGCTGGTTGACCAACCTTTCTTTTGTTTTTATAGTAATGGGATTTGAGCTCAGAGATTTGCACGTGATTGGCAAGAGTTCCAACCGTCACAATACTGTTCTACTAAAAACAAAGTTCTGGGCTGGGAATGTGGCTTAGTAGTAGAGTGCTCACCTAGCATGCATGAAGCCCTGGGCTCAGTACCACACAAACAAGAAAAGCTGGAAGTAGTACTATGTCTCAAGTGGTAGAGTGCTAGCCTTGAGCAAAAGCAGCTCAGGGACAGTGCCTAAGCCCCAGGACTGGCTAAAATTAAATAAATAAATGAATGAATGAATGAATGCAAGCTTCTGGAGTATAGCTAGTTTGCTTAGGTTTGAAAAGTCCTCTTTGCATTCATGGCCTTCCATTTAAACCCAGCTTGCCATAGTTGGAGAACTGCTCTGAGCCATAAACCTTAACAAATGTGTAGTAACTACAGAAGAAAGTGGAGAGAAATATGAGAAGCAGCCTAGAATAGAAGAAACTGTTCAATGTCCTTTCTGAAGTCTTATTTTCATGTACTGTCTTCTACATTAATATAGAGTAAAATGTTTTCTTGAATATTACTTAGCTTTCTGTTACTGTAACAAAATACCTGAGATGAGAAATAGAGAGAGAGGAAAGATTTATTTCAGCTCACAGTTTTGAAGCTTTCAGTGCATTGGTCTCTTGGCCCCTTTGCTTTTGGACTGGTGGTGAGCAGCATATGGCAAGAAGCATATAACTTCATGGTAGCCAGGAAGCAAAAGAGAGCATATAGACTTTATTCCACAGTTGTCTTCAAGGTCACACTTCCAATGACTCAAAATCTACTAACTCCCATCTCTTAAAAGGTTTCTACCAACTTTCAGAAATGCCAAGTTGAGAGCCAAACTTTAAAAAACTTAAAAAAAAAATTTGTTTTGCACAACTAGAGGTTGAACCCAAGACCTTTGTATGCTAACCAGGCATTTTATTATACCTCCAGCTTAGGATCAAGCTTTTAGTACATGAGCTCCAGATCCCAGTAATAGTATCCTGTAATTAATCTCTTGCCAACATCATCATCATCATCATCATCATCATCATTGTTATCCTGAGACTTGAACTCTGGGTCTGGGCATTGTCCTTGAGCTCCCTTTGCTTAAGGCTAGTCTCTACCACTTGAGCCACAATACCACTTCTGGCTTTTTCTATGATTAATTAGAGATAAGAGTCTCACAGACTTTCCTGCCCACGCTGGCTTTGAACTGTGATCCTCAGATCTCAACCTCCAGAGTAGCTAGTCACCGGCTCCTGGCTCCAGTCAACATTAGCTTGTTTTTTTTTTTTTGTTTTTTTGGGGTTTTTTTGGGTCCAGTCATGGGGCCTGAACTCTGGGCCTGGGCGCTGTCCCTCAGCTCTTCAGCTCAAGGCTAGCGCTCTACCACTTGAGCCACAGCACCACTTCTGGCTTTTTTCTTTTTGCTTATGTGGTGCTGAGGAGTCGAACCCAGGGCCTCATGCATGCAAGGCAAGCACTCTACCTCTGAGCCACCTTCCCAGCCCTCAACATTAGTTTGAATGACTGTAATATACTGTGAATGTCTCCTGCAGTCCTTAAGTGTTTTCTTCTTAGAATCTCCCCCCTTCTACCTGATAGCCCTGTTTGAACTCAGGGCCTCACCCTCCTTTTTGTTCATTTCTAATACTCTACCACGTGAGCCATTATTCCAACCTAGCTAGTTAGCTAGAGATGGATTCTCCCAGACTTTGTGCCCAGCCTGGCTTTGAACTGTAAACCTCCAGAATTTAGTCTCCTGAGTAGGTAGGATTACAAGTGTGAGCCACAGATGCCCTCTGCATTCTTTTATTTATTGATTGATTGTGGTACTAGAGTAAGAACTCAGGGCTTCACACTTGCTGAGAAGCTCTTTCCTGCTGAGTCATGACTTCAGTCCTATTTTGCACTTATTTTTGAAATAATCTCTCACTTCCTGCCCTGTTATGCACTTGTACTGCAGTCCACCTGTTTTAAGCTTCCTGTTGTAGATGGGATGAAAGATATACTTCACCATCTCTAGCTTCCCTTTCTTGAGATGTAGATGCCATCTCAAGGACTTGTCTCCCTGAGCTAGCATCAAACCACAATCCTGTTCTCAGTCACCCAAGTAGCTAGGATTTCAGGCATACAGTTTGGCCCTATTACAAGTGATGGATGTATTAGTACATAGTTCTTAGAAGCAAGTCAGAGGTGCCAGTTGCTGGTGACTCACACCTGTAATCCTAGCTACACAGGAAACTAAGATCTGAGAATCACCGTTCAAGCCAGTTCAGGCAGGTAAATTCATGAGCCTCTTATCTCCAGTTAACCACCAAAAAGCCACAAGTAGAGCTGTGGTCCAAGTAGTAGAGCCCTATCCTTGAGCAAAAAAGTGACATTGCTTATCCCCTGAGTTCAAGCCTCAGGACCAACCTCAGTACTGGCACCAAAAAAAAAAGAAAAGAAAAAGAAAAAAAAGAATTAGCATTGACCAGATGTCTTATCTGATATTATTTGTGTAGTTGCTAAAGGAGTGGAGAGGGAGTATTACATCACCTGCAGAAAGATTTACTAGGACCCAAGAGTATGTGAAAACAGCTAAGCTAAGTCACAGGTTTCAAAGAATTACCATCAAAGAAAGACATCTGTTACAAATGTACATGTGGCATAGCTGGCTGGCGGTTATCCTCTAGTTGGGCCTAGGCCATCCACAGAGGACCCCTCTGTCTTCCCTCTGAGCCTTTCTGAACAGTGGACATAGTAGGGAGATCTTTTCTAGATAGCTGTGGCCTGGGAGTAGTGAAATATTATCACTTGACAATGAGTTACTGCTTGATGACTGCATGGCTCCTCTGATCCACTAAACGTTGATGTGTTTTCTTCTGTAATTTCTAGTCGCAAGAAAATGAACTTTCCCTGTCAGGAATTCTCCCTTTTTAAATAAACCACTCAACTTTAAAGTAGATTTATATTTTTATTCCTTCTTAATTTTCTTCTTCCTGGGTAACATTCATGTTCACCTCTTGTACCACTTGACTTCCAGTTCTTCTCCCTTCGAAAGAGCTCTGTAGATGGATTCCTGACTGTGGCCACTAGTTTTAAGTGGATATCCCACATTTCTGTCAGGAGCCCAGGAGAGAGTTTTAGCCCCTCCTGCAGTGCAGGCAGTACCCTCACACCCCTTCCAGTCTCCTTTGTTTCTGAAATGGTAGTGGGCCCTGCTTTCCAGGGACTGGGCTCTACCCCTAGAACTGGAGTAAGGGTGGCAGGACCCAGAGCCATGGCAAGTGCAGCCTGTCTTGTCTTTATAGTTGAAGAAGTAGAAACTGATGGGAGATTATCCTAGTTGGTACTGGAGTTCCTGCTTCTATAGTCATCTTTGATGCTTAGGAACAGATCTGACTGGTATCCCTGTGGAGGAGAACTTCCTCATAATAGAGAAAGCCCACCAGGTAGAGGTCCAGACTCTCCTGCCATCCCTGACTTCTCCTGTTATTAGTTATGAAGGAAACCAGTTCTGCTATAATCACCAGGACCAATAGTCCTTGGAGGAGACAGGATTTGGGTTTGGTATGGTAATAAGACTTATCTGGGCTCCTTTCCTATTTCAGTAATGGCTGACTTTTCTCATAGCAAGCCTTGTTGGCATGTACTCTTTCCAAATCTGTCCCAAGAGCCTGGTCTCCCAGAACTGCCTCAGTCCTGGAGGGCTATGGGTCACAGGATTCTGATCTGTGGCCAGGACAACCAACAAAGGAGTGTGGCCAGTAAGAAAGAAAGGTCTGGATGCAGCATTCTTGGTCACTTCTACATTCCTGATGTCTAGCTGCACCTGGAGATGCTGTAACCTGGAACACATCAGCAAGCCTCCCCTCTTTGTGGGCTGCCTGAGCTGCCCAAGGGTGCCTTACTTTGGCCTTCTTCCTTGAGAGTCTGCACAGCCCTACCTGCCATGCACTGTGATTCTTGTTGCGATCACCTTGTCTGTTGTCCCTCTGTCCTCAAAGATGATTGCTGAAGCCTTGGCCCAAGGTGGGACGCACGTAAGAGCCCGGTTCCCGCCCACCTCCACCATGTCTGCCATCCCGTCGAACTCCATCTCTTTGGGCGGACAGCCCACAGCACAGGTATTTACGGGCCGGGTGGCGCACAGGGCTCGGCCAGGAGCTTGGGGTTCCTCTGAGCGCCTTTGTAAAGCGCACCTGTCATCATTGGTGACTTCCTTCATGGTGGCTTTCAGAGTGCCAAAGCAAGTATCATAATTTTTTTGTTTGTTCAAGTAAGGCTAAACCCAGCTGGTATTTCTTGAGGGGCTATGAATAAATCTGGGGTTTTGTGGGCTTTGGGGGCTTTTTTTCTTCCTAGTTTAAAATAGTCATAGTACTGCTATTTTCATAGTAAAATAAAACAAGCCATGCAAATAATTTGGCTTTCTAGAACTGTGCTATCTAATCCTGTGGTCACAATGTATAGCTACTTGCACTTAAATTAATTAAAATTAAACTAATAATTCTCATGGCAACAGTTACATTTTGAGTACCTCACAGCTCTATGGGAAAGTGCCTGGCTGCTGAACTGGACAGCACAGATCACAGGCAATGGCCATTGTGTAGAGATGGTGTTGGCCCAGTGGGCAGGGAACTGGATCCACACATGCCTTATGTGGTAGATGTAGCCTCTGGGAACCTTCTACTTTTCAGAGGAATTAATCCCTGGTTTTCCATTATCATGGGAACTTGGACTTGTCCTTGTGTTCTTTTGTTTAACAGTTGTCACCCATGTTCTGTGGGCCTAGTTATTCAGCAGGGCTGAGAATAAGATGGGCTTGAGGTTCTTTCATCATAGAGGCTCTACATTTTAGTGAGTTTATCATGAAAACCTCAAATTTGCCAAAAGACCCTTAAAATTCCTTTTCCTTTGCAGGGAAGTGCTGCTGTAAATCTTTGCCCTTTCCTGAGGGCCTGGCTATAGTCAAACCGTGGGCAGTATGGTGTATAGCCGCCTCCAGAGGAGCTGTGGCTGAGCTCCCCTGGGATTCACAAGTGTCAGGTGGGGCTGTGGAGGGAGTGAATGAGCAGTAGCATAGAAAGCAGGACTTATTTGAGGGGTGACATATGCCAGGCCTTTGTGTTGAGCAGGTTTAGTTCAAACTGAGAAGGGCCCATAACAGAAGGGCTCAAATGAAACTCAACACCTCTGCTTCTCAGTAGGATTCCTCATCAGATCACTCCTGTTGGTCTGATGACATAACCTGGCTGGCCAGGCTTTTGCATGCTCCTGGATGAGCTTCCCCACCTCTGAAGCTACAGATTCCACCAATGCCTGATCTGGATTAGGGTTTTTCTTGCCATATTAAGTTGGGATTGCTCTTCGCCATGTACCTAGTGGCTAGTATTTCCACTGGGATTTCTCACAGGCACCTTGTCCCTCCCACCTGCTTCCAAACTCATTCCCTTCCCAGCCTTCCTGGCCTCCTGTGACATATTAGCAGTGACTTGGTGACTTTCAGCAAGTCACCTCTTTCTGAGCTTCCTTGTCACCTGTGATTTACAGGTGACATGTGCAGGGTTTGTGGCAGGCAATCAAAAGCTCTTTCCTGAAAGATGGGCTCTTTTCATCTTGACTTTTGCTAGCAGCTGTGTCCATGCGTAGGACATTGATAGAACAGAACTGGAGACGGCATGAAGGGCATCTCCCTCCCACCAGGCTCATTGCTCCCATTCCTGGGACTGGGTCTCTTCCCACCACATTTTGCTCATTGGGCTAGTTATGTCTACAGGTGGGTATTGGGGACCATTCTTTAGACCAGATGTCTGCTAGGACTGGGATGACCCAATGCTGGACCCCTGGAGAGCTCTCTAGGACTTCCTATTCAGAAAATGAAAAGGTGCTCTTGAATTGTTTTCCCTCCTGCTGGAAGTCTCTCCCCAATCTCCATCCTTTGGCTGCTTCTGTGCCACCCAGCCCCAGTGAGGTGCAGAGGAAATTTAGGGGACGGATGGCTTCTCAAATGTGTCTGGAGGGGACTCCTGTGTGAAGACATCTATTTGTTAACACATAGGAGGATGCTTTCAGGCTGTGCTCAGGGTGAGGAGAGAAGTATGACCAAGATCCCTCCACAGGGGAAAGATATTTCTCTCTGAGGGCATGACCCTATACAGGCCTGGGTGTTCTGCCTCTTTGAGAGCAACCAGCTGCCCTTCCCCATGTCTTAGATCACAGCCTCATATCTGAGGGAATCTCCTCATCTCCCTCCCTGCCCTGGGAGTTGTTGGTATGTGCCCCAGGCCCTCTGGTTAGGTACTGAGGTGGGAATATGAGGTACACTTCTGGCCGTAGCTCCCCAGCCACAAGGCCCTGTGGGGAATATTCTGCCTCACAAAGAAGCATCAGTCTTTAGCCACAGCCCAGGGCTGATGGTCTCCTGTCTTACAAGGAACAGCTGCTTAAACAGGGACTGGGTACAGGTGAAAGAGAAGGGGTAATAGTATGTCCTGGGACTTGAGAAGGGCTAGGCTAGACTGTTCAATTCTTTATACTCTATATTATTTATTTTCCTTGGTACCATCTGTAATTTTCTGCATGGAAATTTACTACTCTGTAGTTTTTGTGAGCACATGGATTGATTCTTGAGCATATTTTCTAGTGGGGGGACATGTGCCTGCACTAGTGTTCCCAGGACCCAGTTTACCCCAGCACCACGAGTGCGTGTTGGACCTATATGTCAGAAACCTTTTACAGTTATTCAGCTCAACATAGCAGTCCCATGTCTGACGCTAACACAACATGAATCTCCATTCAGAGTGACTAGGCCCAGCAGCTAGAGGCCTGTGTTCTCTTAGTCTTCTTTTCCCCTCCCCTCTCTCTCCCCATCCCTTTTCTGCCTTTTCCCTTCTCCCCTCTTCCTTCCCATCTAGGGTTTTTTTGTGGGGGTTTTTGGTGTGCTTTTTAAAAAAAAATCACAAAGTAATAGAAACGGTTCATTCCATCTGTTCCTCTCACTGGGCCAGTGACTTTGCTTGGGGGCACAGACCCAGCCTTGTGGACAGCACACCTGTGGGGAGAGGGGGTTTGCCCTGTGTCTTGGTGCCGCCTGCCACCCCAGTGCATACAGCATGGGTTGTGAGGAAGCCTCCATTTGCACTCTGGGCATCTCTATCTGGAACTCTAAGTAGAGTCATCCTTAGCTAGCACTCCTGCCATGGTGAAAGTATGAGTGCAGAACTGTGGCCTCAGAAGGCTATGGGCTGGCCCCTCAGAAGGAAGGCTTTGAAGGGGTGCTCAGCAGGTTGTATAATGTGTGGGAGATGCCACCTTGGGCCCTTGACAATCTGGAGTTTTGCAAGGCCTCAGGTTGGTCCCAGTGTGTCAAGGGACTGGCACAGCTATCATCTTGTGCTTTTCTGATGGAAGGAGTAACACATCTATCCCTCCATGCCAGACACTGTGGTTTCAGCTCTTGGGGTTCATGGGTGAAGTTGGTGCTAATAGCGGTGCAAGAGGCCCAATTTGTACCATCTGGGATGCAAACTAGGGAGCAGAGAGCAGCCCTGTACTGTGGACAGGCCCGGCCTCTGAGGAGTCGAGGCCTGCATTTCTGGGGCAGAGTCACATACTAAGCCTGGCTTCCTGACAGTCACTTGCCCCAGCCAGTGGGTTCTGCATCCAGAGGAGGTGCTGGATGAGGCTCGAGCAGGTGTCACCTGTGTATTGGCCTCCTTGGACATACAGTTAAGCAAATCCAGATGGACAGAGTATAAGACACCATGTCTCCATCAAGCAAAAATCAATCAGAGGATAGAAGACTTTTGTGGCTGACTGTGTTTTGGGGGACCATCAGCCTGGTGGCTTGGGAGGTCTCGTAGAAGCATGCAGGAAGACTGGCCCATGGATAGTAGAGCAGGGCCTTATTGACCTACAGATAAGAGCATTGCAGGCATGACACAGGCCATTGCATTCCCAGACCTTCCTCTTTCTTATAGCCCCATGCCACAGAAGCAGGGGAATAGTCATGGCTGTCCAAGCCCAGAGTCCTCGTGTTCTCCACCAAGAGGCCAGGCTACCCTGCCTGGTATTCTTGCCAGCCCCTCAGACACTGTACCCAGAGGTGGTGCTTGTGCCTAGTCGTGTATGGGAGCAGCATCTGAAAGAAGGTAGTGGTATAGGGTGAAACTGCAGAGGACAAGCCTTTGGGTGCAGTGGGAAGCTGGGAACAGGTGGCAGTGAGCCGGCTGAGCCCCTCCACTTGCAGGTCAGCCAGAGTGGCCTCACCATGCTGTCCTCGCCGTCGCCAGGCCAGCAGGTACAGACCCCACAGTCAATGCCTCCTCCTCCCCAGCCGTCCCCACAGCCTGGCTCACAGCCCAACTCCAACGTCAGGTAGGCTGACCAGGGATACCCCTCCTTGCCCAGTCCCTGGGGCAAGCCCACTCAGATACCCCACTCAGACCTGCTTTCTTTCATTTGACTGCAGCTCTGGCCCTGCCCAGTCTCCCAGCAGCTTCCTGCCTAGCCCCTCCCCACAGCCTTCACAGAGCCCAGTGACAGCCCGTACCCCGCAAAACTTCAGTGTCCCCTCGCCTGGACCTTTAAATACCCCTGGTAAGCTGGACCTGGGGCTGGACCTGGGGTGGACATACCACAGGGGGCCAAGAGTCAACCTCTCCATCCCAGTCCTCAACTTAGAAGGGGTGCATGAGCTCTTGGACCCTTCAGAGCATCTGCACCCCACAGAGGTTGGCAGAGAGCTAGCCTCACCTACTGTGTCCTGCAGTGAACCCCAGCTCTGTCATGAGCCCTGCAGGCTCCAGCCAGGCTGAGGAGCAACAGTACCTGGACAAGCTGAAGCAGCTGTCCAAGTACATTGAGCCCTTACGCCGCATGATCAACAAGATCGACAAGAATGAAGGTGAGACTCAGGCTGGGCGCAAGGCCCTGCGGACCCCCTGTGCCCTGTGTCTCAGTATCCCCTCTTTGTCCCAGACAGAAAAAAAGACCTGAGTAAGATGAAGAGCCTTCTGGACATTCTGACCGACCCCTCTAAGCGGTGAGCTTTGCCCTTGGGCCCTGAGCAGGAAATGGAAGGTCCCTAGAGCTTGGCAATGTAGGCTTAGCAAAGGAGCCAACAACTCTATGACCCCTGACAGAGGCTACACATAGGAGTCCTGCTGTGCTTCAAGCCCAGACTTCAATTCCTTCAGCTTTTGCTCTGTTGAGGGCTCCTACTCTGATCCATGCTTCTACCCTGTGGCCATGACAGCCTGGCTCATCCGGCCATTTTCCAAGGCCTAGTTTGTAGTGGCCTTTCTGTCAGCTGCTATGATAGGCTAACTTTGTCACCCATGCTCAGCAGAACTAGTTATGGTCATACATGATGGTGACGGTGCCTGTGAAAAGCATATGGGGGAAGTAGCTGGTCAGGTTCTAACCTTTTCTGCCTGCTAGCCTCCTGCTGCTCTGAGCATGTGTCTTGGGTAGCACCACAGACCTGTGCATGTGGATGGACCTTCTTCTGTCTCTGCCTCACCTCAGCTAAGGTCTGCTTCCTTTCTAGACACATCCCTCATTTGCATACTTGGCAGGGAGAAGGCCCCCCCCCCCCCCAAGTATGAGCTTGTTGGAGCTGGACAGCTGTCCAGGCCCTCCTGGGTTGATCCTTCATTGGAGTTGTAGGGATTGGCCTAGAGGAGGCTGAGGTCTTCTCAGTCTGGGTTGGGAGTGGCTGTGGACTGGCTGGGTTCTGTGGTTGTGGCCCAGGAGTCTGGATCAACACCCAAGCATCACCTGCTTCCCTGGCCCCCCAGCACAGAAGGATAGCCCACATGTTCTCTCCCCTCAGGTGTCCCCTAAAAACCCTGCAGAAGTGTGAGATTGCCCTGGAGAAACTCAAGAATGATATGGCAGTGGTGAGTAGAGCCCCAGGGTTTGTACATACACTGTAGCTAGAAGGAGCTTTTATGCAAAGGCCAGTCTGCTATAGAGAGTGAGGACCTGAAAGAGGTCACCCTCGCCTCCATGGGTATTCGCATGCATTTGCCAGCCTAGCACAAGGCCCTAGCCCAGGAAGGAACCTGGGTGGGAATGAGGTTGTTGGGGCAGGATTCTTTCCAGGAATACTGCAGGAAGCTGCTGTGATGAGGGACCTGGGATCTGGAAGACCTGTTCAGGATGGGTTGAGGCCACAAGCCCAGGCTGGTGACCTTGCCCATCTTGTTCCCAGCCCACCCCCCCACCCCCACCAGTGCTACCAACCAAGCAACAGGACCTGTGCCAGCCACTCCTGGATGCTGTCCTGGCCAACATCCGCTCGCCTGTCTTCAACCATTCCCTGTACCGCACATTTGTGCCTGCCATGACAGCTATCCACGGCCCACCCATCACGTATGTGCGGCTGGGGTTAGGTCTCACGATGGGCGGTAGGAGGACCAAGGCTACATGTAATCATGTCACCATGGTCCCCATCCAGGGCTCCCATGGTATGCTCCCGGAAGCGAAAGCTTGAGGAGGATGAGCGCCAGAGCATCCCCAACGTGCTCCAGGGGGAGGTGGCCAGGTTAGACCCCAAATTCCTGGTGAACCTGGACCCTTCCCACTGCAGTAACAACGGCACTGTCCATCTGATCTGCAGGCTGGGTGAGTGTTCAGGCAGGGTTGGGTGGCTTAGGAGAGCAAGGCCTAATCTATAGCCCCAGGGCTTACCTTCCCATACCAGGCCTTCAAAACACTGGTACTTGCCAGGTAGGTGCTGGTGGTGGCTCAAAGCTATAATCCTATCTACTCAAGAGGCTCAAGTTCATAGGATCCAGTTCAAAGTCAGACAGGGCAGAAAATTTACTAGGCATTATAAACTTGGAGGCATAGCCCAAGTGGTAGAATGCTAGCTGAACAAGGGAGTTGAGCAAGAGCACAATACCAGCCTGCTAAGCTACCTCCTCCGTCCTCACTCCCTTGGAGAAGTGGCTCTTGTCTGAGGTTGTGAAGGGAACTGTGTCAGCACCCCTGGATACCCATCTTCACAGGGGACTCCATGACCCAGTGTTCAGAAGTCCCAGAGGCATCCAGGCCTGCAGCAAGGCTCCCTGCAAGGAGTAGAGAGCCAGTTCAGGAGCAGGGCTGTGTGTGTTAGGGCTTGGGCCAGATAATAGGTGCAGCCTTATGTGTTACAGATGACAAGGACCTCCCGACTGTGCCACCGCTGGAGCTCAGTGTGCCCGCTGACTACCCTGCCCAGAGCCCCTTGTGGATCGACCGGCAGTGGCAGTATGGTGAGCCAAAAGGGGACACCTGGGGGCCAGGACGTGTGGGGCCAGCTCTGTAGGTCAGGAGCACTTCGCTGTCCCTCCTACCTCCCCTGCACGGGCAGGAAAATGTTGCTCACTGGTCACCTGGAGACAGCCTGCATTGTGTCCTTCACTCTCTGTTTCATGACTCCAGGAAGCTGTTCGTTAGGGGAGGGGTGAGCAAGCCCATGGCTTCAGGACAGACCCAGATGTTCCTGGCAGCCACCACAGAGCTCTGTAGTGCTGACACAGGGCCACTCCCAGGAGCTTGGGCTCATGATGATCCATCTGAGGGAAAGATGAGTCTCTTCGGTAGACATTTTTTCCCCCCACCCTGGCATACAGCAGAGCTAGGCTGAGTCCCTAAGAGTGTCAAAGAGGAAAAGCCAGGGACTCCAGATCCAGTTCACATTCCAGTTCTTCACTGAGTTTGTGACTATGAAGACAGCCCATCTCAGAGCCAGGCAGGAGCAGGAGACCAAGACCAAGGCAACTCTTCCCAGAAGTGCTTTCCGGCCTAGGGCTCAGGTCCAGCTGCTCCTTGCAGAAGGCTTGGCACTTACTAACCCACTGCTCTCTTGCAGATGCCAACCCCTTTCTGCAATCAGTGCACCAGTGCATGACCTCCAGACTGCTGCAGCTGCCCGACAAGCACTCAGTCACGGCCCTGCTCAACACCTGGGCACAGAGCATCCACCAGGCCTGCCTCTCAGCTGCCTAGCCAGGAACTTGAGGACTGCCTGCAGCCTTGTTGGGCTGCAGGCCCACACCGCCTCTTGAACATTTCTAGGTGTTGGCTTCCTTAGAGCCTGGGGTTAAGTTAGCTTTCCTACTTTTATCTCCTGCCTTGGGGACCTACCAGACATTTCCCCATACTTGTGCAGCACAGGGCCAGGTGACTGGAGCTGGCTGCCCAGGGAGTGAGGGTCCTCCTAGAGAAAGTTCTCCCTGTGTTCTCTCCAGGTTCTGTCTACTCAGCAGCATGAGGGAGAGCTCAGGGCCTCGTCCAAGCATCATGTGCTAGAATACATTGTACTTGTTTTTGTATAGGCGACTGTGGAAGACACAAGAAAATCCTAGGACAACTTTGCTCAGTGTTGGGTTCGTACTATGCCACTTGTGGCATGTGGACCACATACAGCGACACTCCTAGATAGAGGACATGGGGTCCTGTCTGGAGGGCCCCACAGTGAGGGACTGTCACCCAGCTATGCCTCAGACCTCATGGGCCTCCTGCTTAGCGCTGTGAGGGAACAGGGGTGTCTGAGAGCCTGATCCCTCTGTCACTTGGGTGAGGGTGCTGTGACCTGTTGTTGGGCCCCAGTATCCTCAGAACACCTACTTTCCATGCCAACCCCCAGAAAATCTGGGCTTCCTTGAGGATTTGCCCCCCTGGGTCACTTGCCACACTGGGCAGCACCAGCAGCCCTCTGGTGGCAAGTTTTCCCTTTTTATATGTGCACTACTCTGTCATATGTGGTTCTTAAAATAAATTTATTATTCCTGTGTTCATTCTTCACTGTATCCCCTTCCCCTAAATCAAGGTCACTGTCAGTCTCAAAGGTGACTAGTTGGGCCCAGGATGCCCCACACCTTAGCTCTTCTGTTCCTGAGTTCTTTTGCTCAAGGCTAGCACTCTACCACACCACTACTTCTGGGTTTTGGTGGTTAATTGGAGATAAGAGTCTCATGGACTTTCCTGACTGGGCTGGCTTTGAACTGTGATCCTCAGATCTCACCTTCCTGGGTAGCTAGGATTACAGGCTTGAGCCTCCAGTGTCTGGTTCCTGTGTCCTTTTTGTTAGCCTGGTTTGTACACTGGCCAAATTCCTGCTGTGGTTCATGCCAGAGAATAAGGCAGTGGGGCCATGCTGCTGCTGGAGTAGACACAAGCTGACCACCTCACGGTGATATATGCAGTTGCTGTTCTGGAGGTGGGGGCGAGGGAGCAGCTAGCTCGAGAGGACAGTCCTCCTTTGGCGGTGGACTCCAAGCACAAAGGGCCCAGCTGGACCCTTGTTGGCAGCAAAGGACAGTGTTGCACCTATAGGAGTGCCCGTCTGGACAGGAAACTCAGCCTAGAAGGCCATTCTTGGGCCAATCGAGACCAGAAAGCCACTTGGCCTCCAAGAAGGTAATGTGGGGCTCTGCTGGCAGTTTACCTTGAAGGAAGTCATCAGCTCCTGGGATGAGGCATCCTTGGCTGCCCCAGGCCTGGCATTCCAGACTAGCAGAATCCTCGATGGGGGACAAATGGCCAAAGAGAGACTGATAGCCATGAGGCAAGGAAACTAGGTGAAACAAGCTTTATTTTCTGTTTTCAAATGGTAATAATGTGCTTTTGTGTAAATAAAGAATAGCAAAACAGTAGTGAGAAAATAGTTTCTCAGCTCCGAGATTAAGTACTTTATCTGTCATGGTTTTTGTCTAACTTGGAATTGAGTGGCTGAAAAGTAGTGGAATCCGTGGGAGGGGAAGGGAGAGGGCAGCAGAGCTGCCGGACGCTGGCTCAGAGCACCGAGCGATGCAGGCGCCGGTTCTGCACCACCTGCAGCCGCTTCTGCCGCTCTGCGAAGTTGCTTTTCAAGCTCTGCTTCAGAGCAGGCAGGATGCCTCGCTCTGCCGTGGACATTGGGCTCAGAATCAGGCTGCAGGTATGGAGAGGGGTGGCTACCATGAGCAAGCAAGCCTCTACAGCTTGTGAGTGCCCTGGAACTTAGGCCTTCTAGGAGCTGGCTCTGTTTCTTGAGACCCAGCCCTCCTCCCTGTAGACACCATGTGCAGGGCTTCCCACTGTCCCATGCCAGGGGCCTTACCACTTCTTAGAGATGCCCTTGGTGGAGACCTTGGGGAACTGCATGGCCTCCTGGTCCCTGGGGAAGGAAGTCAGCAATGAGCCCATGTTGCCAGATCCTATTGGGCTAGGGCTGGTGGGCACAGGGACACTCACTTGAGAGAGCCAGACCTGGCCTCAGTGACAGCCTTAGACCTCTGATTCCCCTCTAGGAGAGACTTGAGGTGCTGCAGCTAAAAGGCAGGGAAGAGAGATAGAGTGGGATGCATGGTGAGGCCCACATTGGTGCCAGTCCACTCCCGCCCAGGCCTCACCTCTTGGGCCTGCAGAAGGTTGGCATTCCACAGCTGCCGGATGACCACCTCACACTGCTGCACTGTGGTGGGCTTGCGCAGGTGTGGGGGCAGGCTCAGTGAGGCAGCTGCCCCTGTCACCTGCTTTCCCCTGTGCTGGCTGCTCCCTACCAAGGGTGCCACTGAATTAGAGATCTCCGCATCCTCGTCTCTGAAACATCATTATGGCAGCTCCGAGATGACCTGTAGTTTGGTATAACCACCTACCTGCCAGCCTCCCCAGGGTGCTGCCCATGCCAGTGTGGATGTGAGAAGTGAAGAAGGCCCTGCCCGTTCTCACACAAACCAGGGTATCCTGGGACCAGCTGGGACCAGGGTCAGATAGGGGTTGAGTGGAGCGTGGCTAGCTGCTAGGCTAACCCTCCCAGCAGACTTCTAAGGAGAGTTTTAGAACTATACAGAGAATCGGGCCAAGTGCTGGCCTCCACAGCATCAGGGAGGCCTTACGAATTTAGGAGTCAGCAGAGCCTGGTTCTCTCTGTCTTGCTAGCTTTCCAAAGGCATCCTGTGCCCATCTCAGTCTACCAGGCTCGGGAACCCAATATACTGTGAACTTGGTTTAAAAAAAAAAAAAAGCCAGGCACTGGTGGCTCATGCCTGTAATCCTAGCTACTCAGGAGGCTGAGATCTGAGGATCATGGTTCAAAGCCAGCCTGGCCAGGAAAGTTCGTGAGACTCTTATCTCCAATAAACCACCAGAAAACTGGCAGTGGTGCAGTGGCTCAAGTGGTAGAGCATTTGCCTTGAGCTGAAGAGTTCAGGGACAGCTCCCAGGCCCAGAGCTCAAGCCCCACAACAGATAAAAAAAAAAAAATAATAAGCCAAATCACTTTTGGTTTCTTCTCTCTGAGAAAATGGTTTGGGGGGTACCTCTGGTTCTCTTGATTCAGGCCCTCACAGGATCCCTTCATGACCCCCAGGGAGGGGGAAGAAAATGGTACCCATCAAATAGGGCTTCCAGCTGACCACTTCTATGAGCCCAGTGCAATCAGGCCTATGGAGGAGGAGGCAAAGCTGCTGGTCCAAGGGTGAGAGCCTATGAAGTGCCACCATGGGGCCTTTGGGGTGCAGCCTGGCCCTAGGAAGCAGGAAGCCCTTACTTGGTCTGGCCCTGTACCCCAGGGACTCTGTCCAACTTGCTGCTTTGACTCATGGAAGCACCAAGTGGCTGTTCTTCTAAGTCCATCTTCTGGGAGATGTCAGTTTTCGACTCTTGTTTCCTGCAGGAGCCAGGCTGGGACCTGGTCTTGGCTTGAACGGTAGCTGCAGGGCAGATCCAACATGTCACTACAGGCCTCAAGATCTACAGCCCAAGGTCTTTAGGATTGGCCACTGGAGCCCTATCCCTGCCTCTGTATCCCTCTGTAAAGGGAAGATGAAAACTGTGTGTCTCTCTGATGGCTGTTAGGAGGGTGACTGACCCCTCTGAGTAGTTGCTGTAGAATGTTCTAAAACAGTCACAGTAGTTGGAAGAAGCCTTCATTTTGGGTACAGTGAAACTGAAGGAGAGGCCTAGTCCCTGTCCACACATGCCTGTTCTCCCAGGCTCATTGTTTACTAGCAGGGCAGTGACTGCTGCTGCTGCTGCTGGGAGGATAGCAGCATAGTGGAAGAGACCTGCAAAAATGGCCCATGGGCAGGCTCATCCCACCTGCATCTTGCCTGCGTGGGAGACACAGGCTAAGCAGGGCTTCTACTAGGCAACCGCTACCTACCCTCTTCCCAGGAATTCCACTACAGGAAGCACTTGGAGGTCCCTCTTGTTGTCCCTGACTCCTCACTGTCTTGCCCTGGGTGGGCCTGCCACAGCACCTTTGTGCCCTACAATGACACAGTGATAAAGACTCAGTCTTGCTAGAGTAGCCTGCCACTGGACCCTGGTTCTTGTGCTTCCCATTTCAGCTTGGGGCATTAGCTCCACCCCCACTGCATCTTGACTCCTTTTGGCTGCCCTTGTGTTCCCAAACCACAGGGTCTTCCCTGAGATTTGCCTGACAGAGGGCCACTTTGAGTGCAGCTTTCTAGTTAATACCCCATAATGGCCATACAGCCCTGGACCTCAGCAGAGCACTCCTCCAGCTTGGAGTACAAACAGGTGCCGATCTACTCACCTGATACTGAGTTGGAAATGGATTTGTTGGACTGGAGGCTCAAGGAGGAGCTGCTTCCTGCAGGAGGGGACAAGACAATGGCAACTTACCTATGCTTACCACTTAGCCCTGAGTGTTGGTTCAAACCTGTGTGCTCCCTATGATACGCATATTCCCATACAGCAGTGCCAGACCCAGCACAGCACCCCAAGGAAAACAGACCGCTGGAAAGACTTCCTGAGGGACCATCCAGAAAACACAGGAAGCCTATACCAAAGGAGCATCAGGTACTGCTGTTGAATATGATCTTCCTCTCCTGCTGTCCTAGCAGGGCCTCCAAGTCCTGCAGAGCTGAAACCACTAGCTCAGGCTGTGTGTTGCTCAGAGCAGCCTGATGGGTCTGTTCTGCTCTGCTGGAAAAGGGGCCTCCTACCACCACCTGTTCTATTGAGTCTTCAGGAAGGGAAAGCCTTGGGCAGGCTAGACACAAGAACATTTCCACCTGGCATCTTAACTAGTCAAATCACTTGATGTCCAGAAGGTAAGTAAGCCAAGGAAATTAACTGAGGCATCCCTGAGTGGGGTCATCATGAAGAGGAATGCCTTACACATGTGGCTTGCAGGCCTGAATCTGTTTTCTCCTCCCCAGTCCCTAGAGTTTGGCAGGAAGGATTCCCCTAGGGAAAGTGCATAGGCTGGGGTATCTGGGTGAAACCAGTTAGTGTGGGAAAGCCCAGCAGTTCTGCTCAGTTAAGGATAGATCTTCAAGCTCCCCAATCCTGACTGCCCAGGGGCTCTGAGCATGGTACCCAGCTGTGGCTAGGATAACTGGCATGAGTTCTAATCCCCCGAACCAGTCCTGACTAAGCAGCCAGATGGACACAGGGTTTGGAGGTGCTGTTGTGGACGGTGGTAACTTGCCATTGGGCACTCGGACTCAGTTGTACCTTTCTTTTGTGGCTTCTGATTCATTATTAGCTTGTAGTGGAGATCTGAAAGCAAGCACATACTCCGGTTACTTTTACAAGGAAGATAAAGGACAAAGTTAGACCTGCCCCATTTTTGCCTTGGTCTTCCCATTGGGCCCAAGTCTCAGCTGGTGATCGTGCTGACTATATTCTGTTGTGGAGCCCACCAGCTTTCTCCCACCAAACCTTTACCTTGGGTATTCTGGGCAGAAATGCCTCTGGATGTTGCCTGTCATCCCACATCATGCCCCTGATGTCTTCAGGGCACCCACTTCTAGGCCAGGTCGCAAGGGGATATGATGGTTGACAGCTTTCTGATGAATGTGAGCAATGCAGGGGTCAAACAGTACCTAACACAGGGCTGGTCAGGCTAGGCATCAGACTGGATAAGATTCTAGAAAGCATGGGGAAGGGGATCCATCCACATAATAGACTCCCAGTGAGGGACTCTGGCACTTCAGGTACAGAGAGCACCAGAAAACAGGACAAAATTGATGCCTCAGGTGGGCAGAGGATCCCTGGCTAACATGGGTATGTTTAGTTTGTGAGTTCTTGGCTACGTTTAACCTCTAAAAATCCTTTATGGGAGCTGGGAAGGTGGCTCAGTGGTGGAGTGCTTGTCTTGCATGCATTAGGCTCTGGGTTCAACTCCTTAGCACCACATAAGCAGAAAACAGCCAGAAGTGGTGCTGTGGCTTAAGTGGTAGAGTGCTAGCCTTGAGCTGAAGAGTTGAGGAACAGCGCCCAGACCCAGAGTTCAGGCCCCATGACCGACCCCTCCCCCCCAAAAAAATGTTTTATGGGTGGTCAGTTGTGGGGGTTTTTTTTGTTTGTTTTTTGTCAAGGGGCTTGAACTCTGGGCTTGGGCTCTGTTCCTCAGCTCTTCAGCCCAAGGCTAGCATTCTACCACTTGGGCCACAGCGCCACTTGTTTTCTAGTGGTTTATTGGATAAGAATCTCACAGGCTTTCCTACCCGGGCTAGATTTGACCTGTGATCCTCAGATCTCAGCCTCCTGAGTAGCTAGGATTACAGGCGTAAGCCACCAGCGCCTGGCCAGTTGTGGGATTTGAACTCTGGACATTGAGCTTGCTTGGCTTGCTTGCTTTTTGCTTTACCACTTAAGCCATGCCTCCAGCTCTGCTCTTTACTCATTGTCCTGGGAAGTTTTTATTTTTATTTTTATTTTTTTATCCAGGCTGGCCTCAAACCAAGATTCTCCTAATCTCAGCTAGGATTTACAGCTAGGATATACAGACATGAGCTATGGTCATCCAGCTTTGTGAACACTTTAGCTCAGCACCTAGACCCTGTCCCAGAGCTTTTATTTATTTATTTTTCTTTTTTCCCAAGACGAGTGCTCTACCATTAGAACCACAGCCCACTTCTAGCTTTTTGGTGGTTCATTGGAGATAAGAATCTTATAGACTGTCTTGCTTGGGCTGGCTTTGAACTTCGACCCCCACATCTTAGCCTCTTAGTCGCTACATCGTGAGCCACCAGCACCAGGCTTTTGTGGAAACTTTTTAACAATATGGTGGTCTGACTCTGCAGAGCCAGCTGCAGAGGAGGAGTGTGTAGTGGGAAGACGACTCTCTGGACAGGGTGTCTGGGAGCAGGAAGGAGGCCAACGGCCAGCCAGAGGATGCTGCCCTGTATTTTCTCCGTATCTCAAGTCTGTTCTAGAGTGTATGTGCTGAGCACTTCTGGCCGCAGCAGGCCGGGGAAGCCCAGGTGTGGGGACCCGGGAGCAGCTGGACTCACCTTTGTTCTCCCGTTTCAGGTACTCGATCTCCTCATGGAGCTTGACCAGCGTCTCCGAGTGCTGCTGCTGCAGAAATTGCAGGCTCTTCTCTAGATCCAGGATCCGCTTCTGGGCTTCGTAGAGCCCACCCTGCGCAGCAGGCTGCTGCTGGCCTGTGGGGCGCGGGCGCGGTCGGGACGAGCTCCTGGAGCTGGAGTTCGAGCTGACGGGCCGTGGTGCGGCCATCACCCACGCCCCTCTCAGTCGCCCTTGCCGTCCCTGCCACCGCCACTGCACGCAGCCCGCTCAGTGGCCAAGCTGACCCGACTTGGCTCCGCGTCGCCACGGGAACGGGCGCGCCCGCGGGGGCGTGGCGTGTGGCTGGGGCGGGGCCTGTGACCGCGTTCTGCCCAGGCATTTACACCTGAATTAGAAAGCACAGCTGGCTTGAACTTGTTTGAGAACTTGTTTGCGTCCGCTAATATTTCTCTTTATCCATTGTAACGGCTCGCTTTTTGAATAGGATATGGTTACAGGCACAAAAATCAACTTCCAATCCAGTTCCAGCAATCGCAGAATCTTTATTATTATAAATGTAGGTAAAGTAGAAAAGAGGCCAGATTGTGATGAATGCAATCCCAGTTACTTAGTAAGCAGAGATGCAAAGAACACAGATTCAAAGCCAGCTGGACAAGAAGTTTTTGTTTGTTTGGTTTTTCCCCCTGGAGCTTGGGCATTGTCCCTGAGCTTCTTTTGCTCAAGGCTAGCACTCTACCACTTCATCCATAGCACCACTTCTGCCTTTTTCTGTTTATTTGGTACTGAGGAATCAAACCCAGGGCTGTGTGCATGTTAGGCAACTCTACCACTAAGCCACATTCCCAGCCCTGGCAAGAAGCTATTAAAATGTCACCTCAATAAGATCTTGTGGGCCTGGTGCTTGTGGCTCACATCTATAATCCTAGCTACTCAGGAGGCTGAGATCTGAGCACCACGGTTCAAAGCCAGCCCAGGCAGGAAAGGCCATAAAACTCTTATCTCCAATAAACTACCAGAAAAAAAATGAAAGTGGCTCAAGTGGTAGAGTGCTAGCTAAAGAGCTGAGGAACAGCTCCATGACCAACAAAAAGATTTTTTAAAAAATCTGTGGGGCTGGGAATGTGACTTAGTGAGTAGCACTCGGGGTACTGGGTTCAATTTCCTTGGTACCACATAAAAATAAAACCAAAAAAGTCTCGTGGTAGTGGTAGTGCAGACCTGTAAATCCAGGTAATCCCAGCTACTCAGGAGACTGAGATGGGGAGGATAGTTCAAGGCCAACTAGGCAAGTAGGTTCAAGAACCTGGATCAACCAATAAAAAGATGCCAGTCTACCAGGATACTTGGAAAATATAAATAGAAGGATTGCCATGCAGGCCAGCTAGGTCAAAAACCAAAACCCTATTCAAAAACTAAAGGAAGGAAAAAAGCTGGAGTCATGGCTTGAGATGTAGAACAGCTACCTAGGAAGTATGAGGTCAAGTTAAGACCCCAGTACCACCATCTCAAAACAAACAATAACAACAACAACAACAAAAAACAGGCACCAGTGACTCATGCCTGTAATACAAAGACAAGCCAGGTGCTAGTGGTTGTAATATTCAGGAGTCTGAGATCTGAGGATCGAAGTTTGAAGCCAGCCTAAGCAAGAAAGTTCTTAAGACTCATCTCCAGTTAACTACCAAAAAACTGGAAGTAGAGCTTTGGCTCAAGTGGTAGGGCTCTAGCATTCAGCACAAAAAGCTAGGGACAGTGCCTAGGCCCTTGAGTTCAAGCCCCAGGACTGGCACCAAAACCAAAACAACTGTGTGACTACACACAAACAAAAGGCATGGGGAAGAGAAAGAACAAATAGAAGCAGCTTTTTCTCTTCTCCCTGGATTTTTCTTTTTTTCCAGTCCTGAGGCTTGAACTCAGGGCCTGGCCACTGTCCCTGAGCTTTTTTGTTGTTGTTGTTGGTCGTGGGGCTTGAACTCTGGGCCTGGGCGCTGTCCCTCAGCTCTTCAGCTCAAGGCGAGCGCTCTACCACTTGAGCTACAGCGCCACTTCCTCCCTGAGCTTTTTTGCTCAAGGCTAGCACTCTACCACTTGAGCCACAGCACCACTTCCGGTTGAATGGTTAGTTGGAGATGTCTCATGGAGACTTTTCTGCCCAGGTGGCATTGAACTGTGAACCTCAGATCTCAGCCTCCTAAGTAGCTAGGATTACAGGCTTAAGCCACTGGTACCTGGCCAAAGTCTATTTTTATTTTTTTTGGGGGGGTCTGGTCGTGGGGCCTGAACTCTGGGCCTGGGCACTGTCCCTCAGCTCTTCAGCTCAAGGCTAGCGCTCTACCACTTGAACCATAACGCCACTTCTGGCTTTTTTCTTTTTCCTTATGTGGTGCTGGGGAATCGAACCCAGGGCCTCAGGCATGCAAGGCAAGCACTCTACCACTGAGCCACCTTCCCAGCCCCCCAAAGCCTATTTTTAGAACTGGAATATGGCTGACATTAATTCTGAATAGGAACAGAAGTTGATTGGGAAATCACTTGACCTATTTTGGTACCTTTACATTTAAGTAAACTGTATTAAGAATTCTGGATTTGAGCCAAATCAGCTAAATTTTCAAGTGATAGCAATGCAGTCACTTCTGGACTAGGGGTGTGTCTTAGGGGTAAAGGATTCTAGCATCTTCAAGGCTCTAGGTCTAATCCCTCCTCCTCCCCCCACCCCCAAAAAAAGCCAAATGAACAGAGTCATTAATGAGGGCTGATCTTATCAGGGACCTTTTAACTTTCAAACAGCTGCTCATGGCATGTCTGAGTGAGATGTTGACCTGGAGATTGTTGGTTAGTTCAGGTCAGTCCCAGCTACTCATGATTCTTTTTTTTTTTTTTTTTGGGTCCGGTTGTGGGGCCTGAACTCTGAGCCTGGGTGCTGTCCCTCAGCTCTTCAGCTCAAGGCTAGCACTCTACCACTTGAGCCATAGTGCCACTTCCGGCTTTTTTCTTTTTGCTTATGTGGTGCTGGGGAATCGAACCTAGGGCCTCAGGCATGCAAGGCAAGTGCTCTACCACTGAGCCACCTTCCCAGCCCCCTACTCATGGATTCTTGAATCTCCTGTAAGCCCAAGATATGTTTTGAGAGACTCTGCTTTACATATTAAAGCCAATTCTGATCTGTGGAATACAAGGTGAAATTCACAGGGTTCACCACCACCACAGGGCCACCTTCTACATTATCTATCTGCCTTGGTTTGCTGCTGCTGTAGATTCATCCACCCTGGGAGAGAAACACAAAATATCCAGATGACCAGTCTCCACTGTCATTATCCAGTTCTTTCTGCAGCTCCCAATTGCCCAGCGACCCTGTGCAAGGTGAACCAGTTGCTAGACACTTGAACTCAGGTACTGAAAGACTCAGAAGCAAGAATGGGTTTATTCTGATCATGGTAGGTTACAAATTTGGGGTTGACTTTTGGTTAGATCCCAAAATGTATTTTAAGATTACTTCAATCGAAATACAAAGCCCAGCATTTGCAACTTAAAATTTTTTTAAATCCCCCCCCCCCACACCAAAGGCTTGGTTTATAAAAAATCATCATGGAGGTGCTGTTGGTAAGTCATCCGCAGGATGAATGAAGGAGACATCCATGACATGACCAGGTTGTCATATACTATGAACGTCAGTCTTTAGACCCTTGGCTTTACTGAGGACAAACAATGCTTCTGACCATCTTTGGTTGTAGGTAGAAACGGGCAGGATGCAACTCCATGGACCCAACCGCACTGCTGTGCTCTGAAAACCAGGCCCACCTGCCACATGGCTATGCCTGGGCTGGGCCCCAAGAAGGGTGTGCTTGGTCAACTCTTTGGGTGGGGGGTAGGAGAGATGTAACATTGTCCTATTACACCTGTGCCTGAGAGGGCTTCCTGGAACTCAAAAGTGGAATTCTATGGCCCAGCCATATAATGTGACAAAATCTAGATCTGCAGTTATGAATCATAAGTCATTATCTAATTTCCTCAGGAATCTTTAGAAACGTTGATTCTTCCTTGGAGCGGATGCTGAATGTCCTGGTTATTTCACAGGGAGAGGAAAGTTCACCCATGGCCATTTCTACCTCTAGGATTGCCAGAGAGGAAAGATTAAGGCTAGGCCAGTTCCTTGAAGGTCAGGCCTGAAGTCAACTGTGGGAATGCTAATCCAAGCTTTACCTGGCAAAATCCTAGAATGGTTAGAAAGGCCTGAAGAAACAGCTCAGCTGCTTGTGGGGCTATGGGCTGAGGGACATGGCTCATGAACATGGCCCTTTGCATGCCAAACCTGCAACACTTCCTCCTTTCAGTTTCTTCTGGATTACCCTACTACTGCAAGAAAAGAACCCCAAAGGTAACGATGCTCTGGTTTGGAAGAAGCTTGCCAGGACTTCTCAGGCCAAGGAAGGGGGCATGCCGCACATCCTGCTGGTCTATAATGGAGTCAGTGGCCAACTGTCAGAGTTGGTGCAGCTTCCCTCGCTCAGTGAGCAGTGTCATGGCCATGGCGTAGAGGAGGTAGCCCAGGACAAGGAGCAAGGAGCAGGGCAGGGGCCCAATGCAGAACAGAGAGGCCACAAAGAAGACCGAAAGGAGTGAGAGCAGTGTCCGGTAGCTGCCCAGGAAGCGCAAACTGAGCCTAGGGCCCCGGGCCTGGCTGGTGGCCTGTCTCCGCCCCACAGGGCTCAGCAGGTGCCTGTCAGCCAATGCAGGCTCTGTGAGGTGGTATCGACAGAAACTGCCAAGGAAGTCATCCCGGGAACACAGAGCAGTCATCTGGCCTGCAAACTAAAGCACAAACAAGGACTAGTGGTAGTGGTGATGGGGAGCGGAGGAGGTGTGGGCAAATCTGAGGACAGCAGAGCACCCTCCTTCCCAGCCCACTCATTTCTACCCAGACACTCCACAGCCTGCAGGATCACAAGGGATGTGAAGGTGAGGGGGATACCCAGTTCCAGAAGCAGCTAGGCTCCCCCCGCAGTCCCATAAACACTAACTCTGTGATTGATGGCAGAGGATAGACGGAAGAGTGCTCGGACAAGGCTGGCAATCTCATAGCTCCGGATGGGCTGCAGCTCTGAATCTCCCTGGTACTCGATTTCAAACCTTCGCAGTCCATTGATGATCTAGAAATTGCAGACAGCTTTGAAAATACATGTTTGCAAACAACCCAGAGAGATTGTCTCTGTTTACTAGAGGGAGGAAGAATTGAGGGCTGGTTATATGGTAGCAGATGCCTCTTGGTTTTTGGGTCCTTTACCTGGTAGCGGCCCAGGGGTGTGAGGATGAGTCCATCCTCCCCTACGATACAGTCTGGGAGCTGCTTCTTCCCATTCTCGTCCTGCGTAGTCCCTAAAGCGAATGTGAGCTGGGCGAGCTGGGCTTCACTGAGCTGTCAAAGAAAAACACCTCTGCTTTCAACTTTAGGGTGAAAGGAGGGGACTAGTCTTTACCCTACAGGCAGTGACAACAAAAGGTCAGAGACCTGATACCCTAGTTGCAGACTTTTTCCCTTTGGACAAAGGATAGTCACATTGGGTCCATGTGTGCAGATGGCTGGCCATTAGCTAGGCAAAGAGTGAATTCCTTAGGGAGGGGACTTTCTATACAAATCCTAAAGTACATACTCGGAATATCTGACGCAGGTACTCCAGGGCCTTCTCCAGATACTCATCTGTCTTGCGAATGCTGTCTTGACCCATCTCATCCAGGTCATTAGCTGGGTAGTAGCCATTTGCGTCTGTGGGGCAGAAGCCCAGCCATGACCATGATAGGAAAGAGCGGTTAGCTGGGCTCTCCACACACTGGTCAGAGATGGACTTGGCAGTCTGCTTGGCCTGTGTGATGAGCTGAGCAAGGCGCAAGACCTGCAAAGGAGGCATAAGCAGGTCACCCACAGGTGGCTCCAGGAGGGTACAGACCAGATGGGCAATAATTACTGTCTTAGTTATACAAGGGAGGCTTTATTGTAACATGTACATACATGTATAAAGTCCGTTTCCTAACAGGATTTATTGTTCTCCCTCCCCACACCCCAATCCTGGGGCTTGAACTCAGGGCCTGGGCATTGTCCCCGAGCTTCTTTTGCTTAAGGCTAGCACTCTCTCACTTGAGCCACAGTGCCACTTCCAGCTTTTACTGTTTATATGGTACTGAGGAATTGAACTCAGGGCTTCATGTATGTTAGGTAAGCACTTTACCACTAAGCCACGTTCCCAGTCCTTGTTCCATTTTTTTTGTTGTGTTGAGGCCGTGAACTCAGGACCTGGCCACTGTCCCTGAGGTTTTTTGTTCAAGGCTAACTCTCTATCACTTTGAGCCACAATTCTATTTCTGGTTTTCTGTGGTGAATTAGAGACAAGAGTCTCTTGGTCTTTCCTGCCCAGGCTGGCCTCTAAGGAAGATCCTCAGATCTCAGCCCCCTCAGACTTTCCTGCCCTGGCTGGCTTTAAACCCTCATCCTCAGACCTCAGCCTTCTAAGTAGTATTACAGGCATGAGCCACTGATATCTGGCTACCTTTAACTTTTATGTATGATTTTCTTCTTTGACAGTGGTACTGGAATTTGAATACTTCTACTACCTGAGCCACTCCTCTAGCCCTTTTTGCTTTTATTATTTTTTGAATAAGGTCCCATTTTTTGCCTAGGACAGCTGAGATCACAATCTTGTTTATACTTCCTATGTAACTGGGAAGATGGACAGTGTCACTGAACCCAGCTTTTTATTGGTTGAAATATTCTTCCATACATTTTTGCCACACACACACACACACACACACACACACACACACACACACACACACACACACACACACACACACACACACACACACACACAGACACACAGACACACACAAGCACTGGTGGCTCATGCCAGTAATCCTAGCTACTCTGAAGGCTGAGATCTATGGATCACAATTCAAAGCCAGCCCAGGCAAAAAAGTCTAAGGTTCTCATTTCCAATTAATCACCAATAAGCCAGAAGTGAAATTGTGGTAGAGTGCTAGCCTTCAGCACAAAAGCTCAGGCCCTGATTTTAAGCCCTGGCCCTGATTTTAAGCTCCAGGATTGGTACAAACATGCATACATGTATACACCCATTCCCCCGCCCCCCTAAAAAAAAACCCCACCCAAACTTTACTAGAAAAAAAGGGGAGCACAGAGAGGGGACAGCAGTATTTGCTCAATACCCAAGCTCCTGCCTGTCCCTCCTTTTCTGAGCTTAGGCATCTTCCCTGATTCTACCAGTTCTCACAGCCTCAATGACCCAGCAGTACCTCTGATCACTCACCAAGGTCCGGACCTCAGGACCAAACATTGGGGTGTACTTGCAGTCTTGGCCCTCCAGGCTGTACACATGGCTCTTCACCTTGAATGAAGCATCAGTGACAGCTGGTGGCCATGGTGACAGGAAGCTACCAGTGACAGTGGGAGCTGTGAAGAGCCGGTGCTGGCGGTGGGGAATGACAAGTTCTGGCTCCAGGAACAGGTGCTCACCTACAAGGCAGGGCACAAGTCTGGCATCTGATTCCTAGGGAGGAGTACCTGGTGCTACTGGCAGGAGTCCAAACACTTCCTGAGGTTTCTACAGAGCCTTAAGAACTATGTACCCAAGGCCTTGTCCCAGAATTGTTGCAGAGGCTCATGGCCAACAAGAGTGCAGAGCCTGAGGACTCAGGTCCCGATGTATTGGGAAGTTCACCAGTGCCAACAGAAAGGCAAACACCAGAAGAGAACTGAAGCCAATGCCTTAACAAAGCTGAGACAAAAGTATACCAGGGCTGGGCACTGGTGGCTCACGCCTGTAATCCTAGCTACTCAGGAGGCTGAGATCTGAGGATCACAGTTCAAAGCCAGCCCAGGCAGGAAAGTCCATGAGACTCTTATCTCCAATAAACCACCAGAAAACCGGAAGTGGCACAGTGGCTCAAGTGGTAGAACACTAGCTTTGAGCTGAAAAGCTGAGGGATAGTGCTCTGGCTCAGAGAACAAGCCCCACGACCGACAGAAAAAAAAAAGTACACCAGGGAGCAAGATTACCTCCTACACAGTACAATGAGTCGGTAGAGAAAAAACAGCAGTTTCAAAAGAGTTATAGCTCCGGTTAGCTGCTCCTCCTGTGGGTATAATGGAGCCCCCATTTGGCATCCCACAATCATAGGGAATGCAGGGTTCAGCTGGGCTCAGAGACTTCACAGCACACTGATGGGCTTGAGGCCCCCAGACAACTGATACTCAGCTACACTGCAAGCTTTTGGTGGGGGTACACAGGGTCTCTGGTCCTTCTCTAAGTGCCACTTTCTATCAGAAAAGGGCATGGTCTAGCTTAGCCAGGACAAGACCTGCCTCACTGACCCAGAGCTAAGGACTTACCTTTCTGGATCATTTCGGCCAGGTTAGGCTGGGCAAAGACTTTAGCTACTCGGAAAACCATAAGTGCATTCTTGGGACTGACCAAGTCTGTGCGGAGAGCACGATTCAGGAAGCCCACAAATAGCTTGGTGTACATCAGCAGGTTTTCCTGCACAAAGGGTGCCCTAAGGACAAGAGTAGCAGTCAGTGACCAGCCTGGGCGAAGGTCAGTCCTACTGGATGTAAGGGCTGCAATGGTCTACACCTTCTGAAGCCTTTGCTCTTCTCTGGGTTCCTACACTTTATAAAGACATTACAAATGGCAGTTCAAGAAGCTAGGTGGCTGGAGGTCAGGGAAAGAGAAGCGAGAGCACGGCAGAGGTCAGCAACACTAAGGACCCCAGAGCTTGTTAGAGCAGAGAAAAGAAACAGCAAAGTACAAAGGGGAAGGCTTGATTCCAGGGAAGGACAGACCTCTGGTGATACCAGGTGCTAATGGAAGCCTAGAGATAGTCAAGCAGGAGGAATGAGTGGGAGATGGTGAGCATGCCATGCTGGTGAGGAAGGGTAGGAGGAGGGTTTTTAGAGCAGACTAGGACATCCACTGGAGCCAGGTTAGGGCAAGAGCAGGGACAAAGAGCATATGATAACCCACTATTTCCTTAGAAAATACATCCCAGGACTCAACATTTATTCATGAAGCACTCACTGTGTGCTCACTCTGTAGGGCCTCAGTGGGAGAAGAGCCTAGGAGACCACCAGGGCAAGGGCTGGATCAACTGAAGCACAAGCCCAGGGCTTGGTGTCTACCCAACAAAGCAGCTTCTTCTCAAAGGAGCCAGTAGAATGGCTGGCAGGAGAGGGTGCCAGGGACTCACCATTTCTCTGCCACGCACCGGGGCTGGGAATCACTACTTTGAGCTTGCTTCTCAGGTGCGTACCTCCATGGCTGCAGGTAGCTCAACCACATCTCCAGGACCTGGTGAGGAACAAGACGTGAGCTTTGAAGGTACAGGGGCCTAGTGGCCATATACTGGGCTTTTAGTCACACATCTTTTGGTGGTCTTCAGCCTGGCTTTCAGGGGTAGCTCAGAAAGGAAAGCATGGACATCTGCCAAGTGTGGAAGGGACATATATGCCCTTATGCTAGGCCCTGAAGAGCCAGGCTTCCAGGTACAAGGGACAGCTAGGAGCAGCTGGGAGCTGCCCGGACATATAGCTGTGCAGGGAAGGGCTCTTTGGGGTCCAAGATCTGGCAGGATGACAATGGTGCACTAAGGCCTCCTTTCCTAGGCTTCTGTGGTAAAAGCTACTACTCCCCTCCTCATGTGCTCACCCCTCCCCAGGCAGAGGGCTATAGCAAAGGCCAGAACATTGCTTACAGCTCTGAAGGATGCATCCAGGGGCCAGTGACCAAAGCAGTGCTGCAGGAAGACATAGAGCTTCTGCTGGACAAACCGTGGCACAGCAGCCCTATGGGAACAGGAAGGTCAGTGGATACCACTCACATGGGGTGGGAGGTCTGTTACCAAGGGAGCTTAGCCCTGGCCTGGAGACTGCTCTGTCAGCAAGGGTGCTAAACCCTCCTTGGAGAGAAACCAAGGTTCTTCAGAGGAGAAAACTAAGGTTCACAGAGATCATGAACATTCCAAGTACCCACAGCATGCAGAGACAGTGTTGATTCCTTCACAAGCCTCATCTTAGCGTCAACCCTCAATCCCACCCACCCCCACCCTGCAAGTCACCTACTTGGCTGACCCCAGTTGGCCTGAAGGGGTCAGGCCATGTGATTCCAGCCCTCCTTCTGACAGGGGAAAGAAATGCCATCAGTACAATGATGCCACTTCTGCCTCACAACTGAGGAGGAAGGGGCAATACAGAATAGTGAAGTAGGGTTTCTCTGGCCAGCTGGCTGTGGCCACAGTCTGAAGGCAGGTCTGGAGGGAAGGCTTTGGGAGTGGAACAGCTGGGTAGTCCCAGCTGCCTCTTGGAGCTGAGATTTAGATTTGAGTTGAGTGAGGGGAATAAACAAGTGCATAAAGGCCAGGGCCTGGGATCACTGCCTGCCCCTCTCCCTATCTTGGCTGAGACCTCATATGTTTTTTTTTTTTTTTTTGGTTGCTGGTCCTGGGGCTTGAACTCAGGGCCTGGGTGCTGTCCCTGAGCCTTTTTGCTCAAGGCTAGCACTCTACCACTTGAGCCTCCGCTCCACTTCCTGCTTTTTTTGGTGCTTAACTGGAGATAAAGAGTCTCATAGAGTTTCTTGTCCTGGCTGGCTTTGAACTGTAATCCTCAGATTTCAGCCTCCAGAGTAGCTAGGATTACGGGCTGAGCCACCAGTACCTAGTCTTCATTTTCTCTTTGAGCAACAAGGGCCCCTCATCTTATTCCCATGCCCTGGGGAAGGTCAGGGTGGTGTCACCAAGGACGAGAATAGGAAGCCCAAGGCCCTGTCTCTTCACACTTACCGTTTAAACTCCTCCAGGGGGCTAGTGGCATGGGAGTGAGCCGAGGGTGAGGTCTGTTCTGGCTTCAGGCTATTGGCAAAGGCATGAAGATGCTTCAGCAGCAGGCGTACCACTAGCACATGCTCTTCAGTGGGTGCAAATGACTCCTAAAGCAGAGAAGGAGGCCATCAGGGCCAGAAGAGGTTTGCTATGCCCAGTGGGCCTCCCCAGCTCTGACCACATCCCTCCCTGACCAGTGGCTCCACTCCCTTACGGGGGGGACAAACCAGGCCAGGAGGGCCTCCCAACCCCTGCAGCACCTAGCATTTAGTGGACATGCCTCATGCAGTTGAGTCTAAACTGAGGCTGACTAACAGCAATGAAGTGCTTGGTCCAACCCACCCAGCCCATCTAGTGTAGCTGGCTAAACTAGACAAGCCTGCAAAGCGCTTCCCTGTGCATGTCAAGCCCCATCTTGGCAACACAGTCATGTGCTCTCCGACCCTGTTGCCCATGCTGGGTCTCAGGATCCCACCCCCCCCCCCCCCCGACCTGGCCAGCTAGAGGGTAAGAACAGGATCAGACTAGCAGCCCACCCAAGCTCTGAACCCAGGGCTGCCTCCTTCCTGCCTCCCAGGGATATGCAGAAAGCTCACTGGGGCTCACCTTGTAGAAGTGGGAGTGTCTCCTTTCTCCCCAATTCCTTCTCCAGTCATAACCCAACCCTTCCCACATTCTCCCCGATCCTGGTCATGGCCAGATGAGGGCTCAGCCCTGGGCATCACTTTTTCTGCTGCCAATGGATCTGTGACCAGCTCAGGTCCCCAGACAAGAACACCTTCAAGGCTGTGAGCTGAATTTGCTGAGCAACACAAACGCAGGCTCTGTAAGGCCAAGACCCAAGAGCAAGCCTTTCCGCTAGCCAGGAGGCTTTCCAGTCATTCACCAATGGAGTGGTCATGTATGCCTTGGGGCTGGGAGCAGGGCTATCACCTGAATGCAAAAGCAACACACTCCTCTCCCTACCACTTCTGCCCCCCAACCTCAGCCCTTCACATACTTTGTGCTAACCAGGTTTGCAAAGGACCTCATCCCCTGGTACACCACAGGATGCAGCAGACCATGCACAAACTACTGCCTCCAGCTCCATCTACCGAGGTCTCCCTGCCATGAAAAGCCCCCTTCCCCTCCAAGCCCAGATGGCACACTTCACTAGCTGAGCTTGTGGAGGGAACTGTAAGTGGGAGGCCATTTTTTTCTGCCTACCTATAACTTTAAAGTCTTTATAGAATAAATGTGCATTTTTTTGAAGGATAAAACACAATGATAGTTTGCTCATGTTGAAACTGAATGTTTTAAGACAGTAAGAGGTGAGGCCAGGTGGGGCCTTTAAGAGGCAACTGGGCTCTGCCCTCATGAATGGGTTATCTTTTTTTTTTCCGATCAGTCGTGGAGCTTGAACTCTGGGCCTGAACACTGTCCCTCAGCTCTTCAGCTCAAGGTAAGCGCTCTACCACTTGAGCCACTGCACCACTTTCAGTTTTCTGGTGGTTTATTGGAGACAAGAATCTCATGGACTTTCCTGCCTGCGTTGGCTCTGAACCATAATCCTCAGATCTCAGCCTCCTGAGTAGCTAGGATTACAGGTGTGAGCCACCCGACCAGGCTAAATGGGTTATCTTAAGAATAAGACTGCAAGCCGGGCGCTGGTGGCTCACGCCTGTAATCCTAGCTACTCAGGAGGCTGAGATCTGAGGATCGCGGTTCAAAGCCAGCCCGGGCAAGAGAGACCGTGAGACTCCTATCTCCAATAAACCACCAGAAAACCGGAAGTGGCACTGTAGCTCAAGTGGTAGAGCGCTCGCCTTGAGCTGAAGAGCTGAGGGACAACGCCCAGGCACAGAGTTCAAGCCCCAGGACCACAAAAAAAAAAAAGAATAAGACTGCTGCCAGGCGTTCATGCCTGTAATCCTAGCTACTCAGGAGACTGAGATCTGAGGATGGCGGTTCAAAGCAAGCCCGAGGCAAGAAACTCTGTGAGACTCTTATCTCCAATAAACCACTCAGAAAACCGGAAGTGGCTCTGTAGCTCAAGTGGTAGAGTACTTGCCTTGAGCTGAAGAGCTGAGGGACAGTGCCTACACCCAGAGTTCAAGCCCCATGACCACCACCACCAACAAAAAAAAGTCTGCTTAAAAAAAAAAAGCCAACTTGTTTAAGATCTTCTAATTTTTTTATGGTGCTGGGATGAAACCCTGGGCCTATTCTCTTATAAGGTACATCCTCCCCTCCCTACTCCTCGTTTTGAAAGAGTCTCAATAGGTAGTCCGTGCTGTCATTGAACTCTCCATCTTCCTGCTTCTAGGTCTCTTCTACATTCCCTGTTTCCTGCCATGTGATGCCCACCATCACCTCAGGACTCTACTAAAATAAACCTTATCGGTCTGTGGAATTTCATAACTAATGAGAGAAAGTTGACTGAGATATACTATAATACCCTAAATAGTAATTAACACTAAGAGAAGGGTGTCAATACCATACTGTCATCTCCAACTCCAGAAGCCTCCCTTTCCTGCAGCCTCTCTCTCCCAGCCCTGTCCTGAGATCCTGGGTGATGATGTCGACTCTTGGCTCAGGAAGAAGGCAAGGCGCCCTTCTGTTCAGCTTCTGTGGAGCTTTTGGCAGGCCAGACTCTGGCTCTCAGCACTGGCAATCACACAGTATCCTTTCAGCCTACTCCTTGCTAGTTTGCCAAGTGAACTTCTTTCTTAACTTCCCACTACTCCTGCTGTAAACCAAACCTAGATTCATGCAGAATCTAGGGCCATGGTTGCCCTTAGCATCCAACTAACTGCTCACTTTCTTCCTTTCTTGCTGCCTCTTTCCCACTCTGTACTGCTGGGAATTGAACATAGGGCCTCATATATTAGGCAAGCACTCTACCACTGAGCAATATCTGTCTCCTACCCTGTTCAATTTCTATGGCATTTCCCACTAGGTGTAGATTCTCCAGGGCTCACCCTCAACCTCTATTGCTATAGGGCTGGGATGAAGCCAGATGGCTTCTTAGGGAAGCTGCTCCGTGCTCTGCAACTTCTGCTTGAGGAGCCTAGGGTGAGCTTTGGTTACCATCCCATGCCACTAACATGACTGGCCCAGCCACATTTTCCATCTGTGATCAAACTTAAGTTCAACTATTCATGTGCTCCTTTCCAGGGTGAACTGGACAGAGACCTGGCCAGGAGCATAGCTCTGTATGTCTGCTGTTTCTCACCAATCACCTAATTCTGTATCAGAGAGGGTCTGCGCTCTACTTCATTACCTCAAATCTATCCACACATTTGCCATTTCTCCTCAAATAGACCACAAGATCCATGAGAACACCACTTGCTCTCATTTGCCTCTGGAGGAGTCTGTAAGTGGCCTGAGATCCTGGGCTCAAGAGTAATAGGCCAGGTCCAGGCTGGACTATCAAAGACTAACAGCCTCTGAGTTCTGGGGTAGGGTGGGGGGACTGGGCAAATTCTACCTATCCCTCTGACATACACACAGATCTGGGCTTGGCTGCAGCCTCTGGGCTGGGTGATGGCTTTGAACCAGACAGAAACCAGACCATTCACAATTTCCCAGGCTCTGAACACTGAGGGTAAGTTGGGTCACTGGAAAGCTCCCTCAGCATCTGAGAAACTGAGACACTTATGCTGTCTAGGAGTTTAGCTAGTCTGATTTTCTGACACTGTAGGCAGCTAGAGCCACATGCCTCACTAGTCTGCCTCAAACCAGATTAGTGTACATGCTAGAGATTAGGCTAGGATGAAGCTAACTTGTCTATCCAACACATAGCTTCACTCTGCTGAGAACTAGCCTCTCAGTTCCCTGCAGCAGGCCCCACCAGATCCTTGCTCTGCCACTATGCAGAATGCACGCTGTGCCCCTGACTTGAGACAGGGAAATGGGGAGGGACTCAAGAGCGGCCAGTACTTGGTAGGCGTGGAGGGCCTGGAGGCTGGGTTGGGCAGGGCTGTGGAGGGCGCTGGAGACACTGAGTCGGTAGTGCAGAACCTCCAACTGAGAGACAACACACAGAGAAGCCAAGGAAAGGCAAGAGGGTGGAGGACAAGACAGGGTGGGGAGGGTGAGAGGGGATGGGACAAGACAGGGGAGGGGGAAGTGGGGAGAGAAAGAAAATAGTGAGGAGCCCAGAAGAAAGAACAAAAGAGAAAAAAACAAAAACAAAAAACAAAACAAAAACAAAAGTACATCAGTGACAATCCAAACCACCAGTGCCCCCGCAGCCTCCGGCAGCAGAGCATCCCCCTCAGTGCCTGAAGGCCCCCGGCGCAGACAACCACAGGCAGTCTACACTGGGCATCCTATGACAGATGGATAATCAAGATCACGGGGAGGACCCTTAATGCTGGGGGCTGGAGGGCTCAGCAGCTCTGAGGTCAGCCCAATTCTGTTCTTCCACAGAGTCCTATACTCCTGCACATCACAGCCCACCAGAGCCCTAGACCCTCTATTCAGAAAAGAAAAAATATGTATAGTCAGCTTTCCCTATACATGGGTTCCACATTCAGATTTGAGCAACTGAATAAAAATATTTAGGGCCAGGCATCAGTGGCTCATGTCTATAATCCTAGCTACTCAGGAGGCTGAGATCTGAGGACTGAGGTCACAGCCAGCCCAGGAAGTCTCAAAGACTCTTACCTCACAACTACCAAAAAGCTAGAAATGGCACTGTGGTTCAAAGTGGTAGAGAACTAGCCTTGAGCACAACAGCTCAGGTCCTGATTACAAGCCCCAGAACCAACCCACCAAATTATAGCCAGGTGCTGGTAACTCATACCTATAAGGCTGAGATCTGAGAATCTCTGTTCAAAGTCAGCCCAGGCAGACAAATCTGGCAGACAAATGGGAAGAGACTCCAATAAACCAGCAAAAAAATCCCAATTAACCAGACTCCAATTAACTAGCAAAAAACCCAAGGTGAGAAGTGTGGTAGACTGCCAAGTGGTAGACTGTCATGAGTGAAGAAGCTGGTGACAGTGAGGCTGTCTTAAATGTGAGCAGATAGATTTTGTCATTAGTCCCTAAAGAAAACAGTTTAACAACTATTTATATTGGATTAGATCCATGGATTCTGAGTGAGTGAGTGAGTGAGTGAGTGAGTGAGTGAGTGAGTGTGTGTGTGTGTGTGTGTGTGTGTGTGTGTGTGTGGTGGTGGTGGTGGTCCTGGAACCGGTCTTCCACTGGATACTGAGGAATGACTATAATTAATCAGATTTCCATGAATTGTCTTTTTTTTTGGGGGGGGGGGGTCTGGGGGAGGGGGTCTGGTCGTGGGGCCTGAACTCTGGGCCTGGGTGCTGTCCCTCAGCTCTTCAGCTCAAGGCTAGCGCTCTACCACTTGAGCCACAGCGCCACTTCCGGCTCTTTTTCTTTTTGCTTATGTGGTGCTGGGGAATTGAACCTAGGGCCTCAGGCATGCAAGGCAAGCGCTCTACCACTGAGCCACCTTCCCAGCCCCCATGAATTGTCTTTTTTTTTTCCCATGAATTGTCTTGAAGGAAGAAAATTACCAAATTAGTAGGCATTCTGATATAATTACTTTAAAAATTGTAAGATAGTATAGAACATGCATTCGATATACAAATTCTGATATATTTTAAACCCCAATCAACATGCTTTCCATGAATAGCTTTTTCATAACTGAGAAGACTAGACAGCTTTCCAAGAGCAGCACAGAGCTGAACACAAGCTCAGCCAACCAGGTGCCCTGAAATTGCTAAAGATGGGAAGATAAGCCTTTTTTTTTTTGGTTGGTCATGAGCCTGAACTCTGGGCCTGGGCACTGTCCCTCAGTTGTTCAGCTCAAGGCTAGCACTCTACTACTTAAGCCACAGCACCACTTCTGGCTCTTTCTGCTTATGTGGTGCTGAGGAATAGCACCCAGGGTCTCATGCATGCAAGGCAAGCACTCTACCACTGAGCCACCTTCCCACCCCCACCCCCTTTTTTTAACCTCATCAAGATCCATGCCCCCAAAAGTACAGAGCTCCCAAGGGAAGGAGCTCCTAAGAAATCTGGCAGCACAGGCAGCAGGCGTGACATTCCAGCTGGCATGCTATCCAACCCCCCATCCCAAGGCCCTACTTCCCGCAGTCCCTTAGCCTGCTTTGTTTTTGTTTTTTGCCAGTCATGGTGCCTGAATTCTGGGCCTGGGCATTGTCCCTCAGCTCTTCAGCTCAAGGCTAGCGCTCTACCACTTGAGCCACAGAACCACTTCCAGCTTTTTCTGCTTATGTGGTGCTGAGGAATCGAACCCAGGGCCTCATGCATGTAAGGCAAGCACTCTACCACTGAGCCACCTTCCCAGCCCCCTCCCTTAGCCTGCTGAAGCCCCCATATCCTGCCCCTCGAGGGCTGTGCCGCCTACCCAAGCAGCATGCCTGCCAGACTTCCCAAAGGACAGGTCAGAATGTACTTGCTAGAAGATGAGGAGATTCATAGCAAGGTGGCAAAAGCTTCTCCCAGCTTTCCTGTATGCCAGACCCAACCCTGTGGCAGCATTCAAGGAGAAATTGGAAAAGTCCTTACCCAGGTTCCTGTTCCCTTTCCTGTGGAAACACAGGACAGGCTCCACAACCACTTGTAGGTACCCAAGACCCAGGATGACCATGGAGTGGAACCTCAGGTGCTACGTTTTCCTTCTTTTCTTTTTTTTTCCCAAACTTTTTTTTTGTGTTGGTACTGGGGCTTGAACTGAGGGCCTGGTTGCTGTCCCTGAGCTTTTTTGCTGATGTCCTACCACTTGAGCCACAGCTCCACTTTGAGTTTTGCTGGTGCATCATAAATAAGAATCTCATGGACTTTCCTGCCTGGACTGACTTTGAACTGCAATCCTCAGATCTCAGCTCCTGAGTAGCTAGGATTAGAGGCATGAACCACCAGCACACAGCTTGGTGCCATGTTTTCTTTCTTTTCTTTTTCTTTTTTTATTTGCTGGTCATGGGGCTTGAACTCTAGGCCTGGGTGCTGTCCCTGAGCTCTTCAGCTAGCACTCTACCACTTGAGCCACAGTGCCTCTTCCAGCCCTTTCTATTTATGTGGTGCTGAGGAATCAAACCCAGGGCCTTATGCATACAAGGCGAGCACTCTACCACTGAGCCACCTTCCCAGCCCCAAGTGCCATGTTTTCTGTATCTGGAAATCAGGGCTAAGTGGGGACAGAAAAGGATTTCTGTAGGTAGGTGCAATGTAGGCCCTAGTAACAATAAAAGGCCTTGGATAATGGGAACTCCTACCAACATCCTTCTAAGCTCCCAGCCAACTAGTTTCCTTGAGTTTTGTTTTCTGCCTCAATAGAAAGTAGCAAAGAGTAGAACCTCACAAGGTCCAGTCCTTCTACTGCCAGTCACTCTACACAAGTCTCATCTATCTCATGGTCTGGCCAAGAGGAAGCAATTGTGGGGATATAAGGGGAAGGCTTCTCGATATCTGAGGAGGGACAGCCCACTAATCCTTCTTCTGGCCCTTAAAAGTAGATATATCTTTCACCACTGGAAGATAGCAGGAGTAGGAAAATAATACAGCCCTGCCTCTGCTTAGCAATGCTGCATACATAAGGCTGAGTGAACTTCCTAGGCCCCAGGGCTGGGCCCTGGAAACAAGTTGGGAAGCCCAGCAAGCAGACTACCATCTATCAGCCAGGAACATGCAGAAAGACTGTGCTGGAAGCAGAAAGGGCACAGCAGAGTCTTTGTGCTTAAGAGGCCCAAGAGAAATCTGTCAGCCTCTCCCTGTTTCTTTCCTCCAAGCCTCTCCCTGTTTCTTTCCTCCACGCATGAGCCCCAGGATGATGATGTGGGGTATCTAAATGATGATTAAATGATGATGGGCCAAACCTCATCACCAACAACAGCAGAGAATTGGGATGGCAAGGCCTCTGCAGAATCAGAGACAATGCAGTGTAGCCTTCTCAAGCTGAATTCCATTTTTATTCTCAGTGAAGTCCTCAAGGATTTTGTCCCACAGTGAGAAACTTGAGCACAGAAGCCACAGACAGCAGACTATGCACCATTGCCTTGGGCAGGGCCCAGGTGTGTGTGATTTAAGCTGTTTCACAGTATGTGAAGCTAACTGTGACTTTAAGCATCACTAGGGCACTCACTAACAGAACAGAACTGTTCTTTGATAATGAGCTCAATGGAGTATCTACCCCAGGAATAGCAATACCAGGAAGTTCAAGGACTCTGCCACCTCTACAACTCTGCAAACAAGTATACTGCCCAGGGAAGGAAAGGGGAGAGGCTGAAAGGTGGGGAGAAGGGGAAACAAGAGGAAAAGGCAGGCCAGGCTGCATGCAGGAGGGTACCAGGCCACCCACTGTAAAATGGATGCTTGCTAATATTCTAGAGTAGGTAAGAGCAGTAAAGGCAGGAAAGAGGTTCAGATCCACCACAGTATATGTGTGTATGTGTGTGTATGTGCAAGTGTATATGTATATGTGTGCACATGGACCACTTGAGAGCATGAAGGCACACAAAGGAACTGGAACATGACTCCTAGAGGCAGCTATAACTTCCTTTGCCTCAGAACAAGAGCACCAGCACCTCAGCCATTCTTCTTGCCAGGAAGAAGCCTTGGAAGCTGTGGAGGGAGGACCCCAGAAAGCAGTCCTCCAGTCTTAGGAGCCTACATGCTGGGATGTAAGCCCCTCACAGGACTGAAGGAAAAGACTTACCTTGCATTTGGCATCTAAGGAGAAGAGGGTGGGCTTCTGACTCCACTATTCAGGCTAGGACAACTACCTTACACTCAGGACAAGAACAAGAAGGCTGGCCAGGGCTAGAGGCATCAAACAGTAAGAACAACCATGAAAACATACCTTGGCATGAGGGGACTGCATTTTCTGATACATCTCCAAGGAATAATGATGGAGCCACATTTCAACAAAAACCTACAAAAGAGCATCAGCTAGTCAAATCACTCAACAATGGGTCTATGAGCATTCAATAGGGAAGGGAGGATTCCAACCTGTGCTGCCAGGAAAGGTCATCCACATGCCAAAAAATGAAGTTAGAACCTTTTCTCATACTGTATACAAAAATTAATCCAAAATTGATCAGTGACCTAAAGATGCTAAAACCATGCTTAGAAAAATAGGGGAGGAAAGATTCATAGACAATAAAATAATAAACAACACGACACACCACAATCAAATTTCTGGTGCATTGAAAAACACTATTAGCTAGACGTCCATGGTTCACGCCTGTAATCCTATCTACTTAAGAGACTGAGATCTGAGGATCACAGTTTGAAGCCAGACTGGGTAGGAAAGTCCATGAGACTCTTATCTTCAATAAACTACTCAGAAAAAGTCAGAAATGGTACTGTGGCTCAAGGGGTAGAGTGCTACCCTTGAGTACAAAGAGGCTCAGGGACAGTGCCCAGTCCCTGAGTTCTAGCTCAAGACAGGCAAAAACAAAACAAAACAAAAACAAAAAACTCCAAACCAAAACACTATTAGCTGGGTGCTGGTGGTTCATGCCTGTAATGTTAGCTACTCAGAAGGCTGAGACTAGAGGATTTCAGTTCAAAGCCCAGCCTGGGCAGAAAATTGAGTGAGACTCTTATTTCCAATTAACAACCCAAAAGATGGAAATGGAAGTATAGCTTAAGTGGTAGAATATCGGCCTTGAACTAAAAAGGGGCAGCACTCAGGCTAGTGTTCAAGCCCCAGTACCAGCATAAAAAAAAAATAAATAAATAAAAATGTGGGAAAACTTTAAATATTGTTCTTTAAAAGTTATACAACTCGGGGCTGGGATGGTGGCTCAGTGGTAGAGCGCTTGCCTTGCATGCCTGAGGCCCTGGGTTCGATCCCTCAGCAACATATAAACAAAAAGAAAAAAGGGGCTGGGAAGTTGGCTCAATGGTAGAGCGCTTGCCTTGCATGCCTGAGGCCCTGGGTTCGATTCCTCAGCACCACATAAGCAAAAAGAAAAAAGCCAGAAGTGGCGCTGTGACTCAAGTGGTAGAGCACTAGCCTTGAGCTGAAGAGCTGAGGGACAGCGCCCAGGCCCAGAGTTCAGGCCCCACAACCGGACCCAAAAACAAAACAAAAAAATGAAACAAAAGTTATACAACTCACCACGAAGGTGAAAAGATGTTTAACATCACACTAATCATCAGGCAAATAAAAACAGTGAAATGTTAGTTCATAGCTACTGGGGTATCTAACATCAAAAAGGAGAAAATAGGTAACACTGACTTACACCTGTAATCTCAGCTACTCAGGAGGCTGAGATCTGAGGATTGCAGTTAGAAGCCAGTCTCAGCAGAAAAGTCCTGAAGATTCTCTCTTCAATAAACCAGCAACAAAGCTGGACTAGAGGTGTGGTTCAAGCAAGAGTATCAACTGGGAGCCAGAAGACAAGCAAGAGCTTGAGGCCCTGAGTTCAAGCTTGAGTACTCATAATATAAACAATAATTTTTTAAAAATGAATCAAAGGGGCTGGGAAGGTGGCTCAGTGGTAGAGTGCTTGCCTTGCATGCATGAGGCCCTGGGTTCGATTACTCAGCACCACATAAGCAGAAAAAGCCAGAAGTGGCACTGTGGCTCAAGTGGTAGAGCACTAGCCTTGAGCTGAAGAGCTGAGGGACAGCGCCCAGGCCCAGAGTTCAAGTCCTACGACCAAAAAAACAAACTAAAACATCCAACATTTAGATCTACCCTCAGGCTGACAAGGTATCTTTGGGACTGTCTTCCAAGGACGGTGGCTGGCTAAACAGTTTGTTTTGAATAGAAACAGAGACCACTTTCCTTGCTTCTCACCTGGAGGAGAGTTTCTGACCTCCAGATTTCATGGGAAGCAGGATCTGCATTCACAGATGTCTGATGAGAGATGTGTCGCTTTAGAAGGCTGATGTGGTGGAGGCCATAGGAGGCAAAGGGCATCGCTGGTGTCCTGACAAGAAACATGGAAACAGGCTTGAGTTAAGTGACCACTGCTAACCAGAATTCTGTTGTCCAGAAAATCTAAACATTAAAATCAATGATAATAATAACTAATTACAACAAGTTTAATCACACAATGATCCTCAGGTCCATACTGATACATTTGAATAAATAAATGGGAAAGGGAAAAGTCTTCCTTACCATAGGGTACTCATTTAGTAAATATAAGAAAGATGAAATTATAAAACCACCATTTGGCACAATCTATTAATAACTGATTTAGGCAGGGCACGATAGCTCATGCCCGTAATCCCATTTACCTGGGAGGTGAAAATAGGAGGATTGTGGTTTGTGGCCAGTCTGAGGGAAAAACTAGAAACACTCTATCTTAAAGAACACACTAACATGGTAGTGATAGTGCATGCCTGTGATCTCAGCTAGAGAGGCAGGATAGGAAGGAAGATCATGGTCCTAAACTAGCCTCTAGCAAAAGCAAGACACTATCTAAAAAATAAAGCAAAAGGAAGAAAAAAACAGAGTTTGGGGACATGGCTAAAGTGGTAGAGCTTCTGCCTATCAAGCATTCAGAACCAGAGTTCAAACTGCAATGCCACAAAAAAAATAAGTAAATAAAAATAAAAAGGGAAAGAAAACGTCTAAGATCAACAGTGGATACTAGTAAATGATTACATATTCTTGATTTATTTCCCCACTAAATCCTTAAGTTTAGTTTAATTTAGGTTCAAAGTGTACATGTCACTTTACAGTGAAAAAAGCTGGCTGACACACCCTTAAATGGTGACAAAGCTCATGTCACTCGGTAATTGGGCAAAGGGACACAAGGCTCTTGGCTGGATGCTTCAGAAGACCTCAGTGTCAATACTGTGGTGCTCCTGCTCACAAAGCCCAAACTGGGCCTAGTCATGAGTAAACATCAGACAGTCCAAGTAAAGGAACACACCTTTGGAGAGGTTAAGATAGGTAAAGATAGAAAGACTGAGGGCTTGTTCCAGATCAAAGAACAGTAGAGATGACCATGCAGTGAGCCAATCTGTGCCAGATTGCAACCCGACAACAGATATGAGTAGGTTAGCTGCTAGTGACCCCAAACAAGGTCTGAGGACTCCATGGTGAGTACCAGCTTCCTGATGTAGACAGAAGTATACCCTGGTCTTGTTGGAGAATATGCAGCCTTCTACAAAATATACTGAACTACTAAAAGGTCATGAGGAGCCAGGAGTGGTGGCTCAAGTGAAGAAGTTGAGAGAGGAGGATCTTAAGTGCTGGAACAACACACCTAGAACTTGCTCAAACAGCCCAGGAAACACAAACTATACTATAAATACTATATAAATAAATGGAAAGACTGAGGATAAAAGAGATATGGGAACACATCAAAAGTCAGGAAATTGGGATGAAAAGATATGTGAGAATTATGCCTGGCCACATTAAGTCTGATGTCATTTCCAGATGAAAAAGTTAAAAGGAGCCAACCAACCCAGCCTAGTTAACCCTAGATGACCTCCACTTTCTTCCCAGCCACAGCATCACAAAAGCCACAGTAGTATCACAAAGGCAGCCAGGACACCAACTAATGTTGCCATGTAGGCAGCCAGTCCCTCCACCTAAGCTCACTTCTCTGAGGGCGTTTGCTCACATTGTTGAATTTTAGGCATATATACACCACTAGCCATGGCTGAACACTGCCTCCCAGGGCCAAAAGTGGACCACTGAGACCACAGAAGGAGTTAAGAAGCTCAGGTAGCTGTGCTGCCTGGGCAGAACGAGCTCTTGAGGAGAGGAGACCAAAAACCCTGGGATATGTGTACTCAGAACCTACCTAGAACCCCCAATTCACCCTACAGCTGGGGCTGCTGCACAGCCATGGGATGCAGCCTGTGTGGCCTGGCACAAAAGGTTCTTCACTCAAGGCCTCCCCTCTTCCCTAAGACAACCCCTTTCCCTCCATCTGACAAGGAACTTAAGACAGTCTGCAGTGAGCACTGCTACTAGCAGAATACAACCCCTTTTCCATACCATAGCAAGGCCTCATTAAAGAAGACAGAGACAGCCTCAGCCCTCAAAAACTAAAACACAAGACACCTTCCAGTCTATGCTAGGGCAAGTGATTCTGGGAAATAAGGCATAAGAAAAATGGGAAAACTTCATACAATTCTCTTGTACAGGACTAGGCTTTAATAACCAAGGCAGCCTTACCTGGGAGCTGGTGAGGGGCTGGGGCCCCCTGGACTAGAGGACAATGGTGGGGGAACGCTGCCTTCAGTGGGCAGGAACCATGAAAGGTATCTGTCCACCAGGATAAAATACGCACAATCTGAAGTACGGACATGGATGGAAACAGGCAGTGGCTGGAAAATCAAACCATAATTAGTGTGGGCTCTGGGCACCACCCTGGCCTCCACTGAGCACTTGCAACCTCTTGGGACACTCCTGACACATCCCCATGGGATGTGGTAGAGCAAGATGCATTCAGACATATATTTTCTGTACCTTCTGAGTGATGAGGCTCAGCGCAAAGAAGAATATGTAGTACTCGAATGGATCTGATGGCAGAATCAAGGAGCAAATGCAGAGCTGGTGGGACACCCTGTAATGTGTGCTGGCCTACCCACAACCTCCCCACCCTCAGGCCACCAAAGGATACTGAGAGCCAAGTTTAGACCAAGGCCACCAGTGGTGGGAAACTGGACCTTGTTGTGGTACAGAGGGCTGTCAGGGAGGACGCGCTCCTGGATAGATGCCTTCACAGGACCCTGTAAAGAGTGAAGTAGGCTTGTGGGCAGGCTCTAGCACCTTGGGAAGGAAGGAAGACTTGCACCTGTCTCTGAAGAGGCTGCTGTTTTGGGCTCCTCCACTGGATTATATGACATTACCAAGCAGCACCACTTTATATTTGGAACAGTTAAGTAAGTCAGCCTTGGATTAAAGTGGGTTTTTTGTTTTGTTTTGTTGTCATGGGGCTGAACTCAGGGCTTGGGCACTGTTCCTGAGCTTTTTTGCTCTACTACTTTAAGCCAGAGCTCCACTTTTGGTTTTCCAATGGTCAATTGGAGAGTCTCACAGACTTTCCTGCCTGGGTAGGTTTTGAACCTCAATCCTCAGATGTCAGCCTCCTGAGTAGCTAGGATTATAGGTGTGAGCTAAGGGTATAACTCACTGGTAGAGCTCTTGTCCTATCATACATAAGGCCCTGGGTTCAATCTCCAGGATCACAAAACAAAAAACAAAACAAAACATCAGACCTACCTGCCTGTGAGGACAGAGTTCAACTTTCCTTTGGGCAGTGCTTAGGCAAAGTAAAATTTAGAATATTTCCTATCATCATTATAAAAACCTGCAAATAGCAAGGTTACCCTGAATATGTTTTTGAACCCCATCTCTTTGCTTCTTAAAACTAAGAAAGTCACTCCTCAATTTTCCCTGAAGGACTGGATATAAAGAGTAAAGAAATGGGTCACATGGTCCTGTTGCTACCCAGCCAGGGGCAAGCAAGGCAGCATGGCGCCTGCTCCACCCACAGGATTCAGAATGACCTTTAAAAAAAAAAAATGACTATTTGGCCTGGCACCAGTGGCTCACATCTGTAATCTTAGGCTGAGGGTTGCAGTTAAGCCAGCTGGAAAAAAGCTGGAATTGGCACTGTGGCTTAAGTGGTAAAGTGCTAGCCTTGAGCAAAAAACAATAAGGAATAATTCAAGCCTTAGTACTGTCACAAAAAAAAAAAAAAAAAAACAAACACAAAAAAGTGACTACTGGAAGTTTTAATAGGAAATACCTCTTGCATCCTAAACAGGCACTGCCGACTGCCACTATTTCTCTAAGCCCCTGCCCTACTCACTACAACGGCCACTGTTCTGGGTCCTCTGCCCAAGTGCTACTCTGTCCATCATGGCTTACTTACAGGGAGGTAGGAAACAGGAAAGTCAAATTTATAGTCTTCAGCTTGAAGTTTATACACCAACTTCATCATTGGGCCACTGAACATAAAATTTTTAAAAAGAAAGAAAAAAAGGACACATAAATTGCAAATTGTCTTACTCTGACTTCTTCATAATTTTAACAAATTGATTCCAAATGGAATCACTATGTGGGGGTATTTAGCCCCTTTCAAATGGTTATCTACCTACCCTGGATCTAGAAACTCCATCGCGATGCCATATTCCACAGGGTTCACACGTCCCTGTAGGCAACGGAGGTTCCAGCCAATGAGGACACCATCCAGGCTGCCAAAGATGTTCTCTACTAGCCATGGGAAGATGGCATGTAGCTCCTGAAACAAGGCACAGCAAAGCATCAGATATACTCACCAAGGACAGCTACCACTCCTGTCCCAGTCCAATTCTACACCATATACTGCCCGCCTTCCATTGTCTGGTAGACTCTGGTGCAAAGGTAAAGAGCTGCTTTGGCTCTTCTACTAAGGCAATATGATACACCAAGCATCATCATTTTTCAGCCTTGGATTAAAGACTTTCTTTTAGGGGATGAGAGTATAGCTCAGTGATGGATCCCTCATTTAGTATGCACAAGACCCTGTGTTTGATCCCTAGCATCACAACAAACAAAACTTCAGATTGAAGAGGTAGTTATTAGGAGATAGTTTGTATGTCTGTACTGGGACATGAACTTAGGGCCTGGGCACCATCCCTTAGCTTTTTTGCTCAAGGCTGGTACTCTACCACTTGAGGCAAGCTCTACTTTCAGCTTTTTTCTGGTTAATTGGAGATACAGTCTCATAGACTTTCCTGCCTAGGTTGGCTAGGATTACAGACACAACCTACTGTTGCTGGCTGAGAACAACGTTCTTTTTCAGTCAAAGGCCTGAAACATAACTGTCACCTACTGTTATCTAGCATCTAGGTGAGCTTCCTGGTCTGAACAATTCCAAATTTAAATTAAGTGCATACTTTTAAAGTATTTCCATCAGAGCATCTCACTACTGACATCTTGGACTGAATACTTTTTTGTTGCAAGGGGCTGTCTTATACATTGCAGGATATTTCTAGCATTCCTAGCCTCTACTTAGTACAGATTACTAAGAATATAAATATGCCCCAGAGAAATTCTGATAAAGATGTACCTTTGCTGGAAAATCTTCAATGACTTTTACCAAATCTTGGCAGCGCTGTGCAAAGGGCTTATTTATAGCATCAGCTTTCAAGCTAGCCTAGAAAGACAAAGTGAAAAACATCATGAACACATTTGCTCTGCAGTTTTGTTTGCTGTGTTAGTACTAGGCCTTCAACTCAGAACCTAGGCACTATCCCTGAGCTCTTCTGTTCAAGACTAGTGCTCTACCACTTGAGTCACAGCTCTACTCCTGGCATTTTGTGGTTAAGTGGAGATAATATTGTCATGGACATTTCCTGTCCAGGCTGGCTTTGCATTACAATCCTCAGGTCTCTGCCACCTGAGTAACTAGGATTACAGATGTGAACCACCAGCGGTTGGCTGTTTTGCAGCTTTTACAGCAATAGAAAAATACAACCATTGGTCTTGTCTCTATCACTTCATGCTGGTGATCCAAAGGATGCTAACAGAACAGACTAGTAGTTCTCAGAGGCCCTTCCTCAAGTATCCCAGAGTTCTATGAGTTATCAAAATGATAGTAAACCTCCACTAACCAATGAAAGGGTTCAGTACCAAGGTCAGCCCCACAGCTAGGGGAAGCAGGGCTTATATACATTAATTGCAAACTTACTACTCATGATTAGATCACTGTGAAAAAAGCACAACAAAATGAGGGCTATATAAGTCCTTTTCTCTCTTAATCATAGGTAAGCAACTTACTAGATTATTACTTCAAGAAATAAGGCACCCTTGGTCAAAAGTAAATACTAATCATGAAGGCAATGGAGAGGCCAGCAAACAATCAGGACAGGAACTGAAACAGCCAGGTCACAGGATACAGAGAAAGTATCCTGACTCCATAAAGAAGTGGCTTCTGTGAAAATGGGTTAAGATTAGGAGGAGATACCAGAATTTCAACAGCTATGCTTTGCCAAGGATATCTGATGCCTGTCCACTTCCATATGAATGTGGATTGCATAGAGCCTGTTCAGGCTATGGGTCAGGTCTTTTGGCTCTAGAAGGAAGACTGTCCTTCCAAATGTTTACAAAAAGCACTTTCTGGAAACTATAATTTAGAACATTCTTTACCTACATGTACTTTACACGTGATTCTCTAACATCCTCTTTAATATATGAAGTCCTGATTGTCCCCAGCATAGCAGTGTCCTTTTATTCTTCATTGATGACAGTTTTGACCACTTGACTGCTTCACATATATATAAGGCTTTACAAGTCATGGACATTCTGATGTACATCCTTCTCACTTGCTCTTCCTCATACTCTAGTAAGTAGGGAAAACACTATCTGAATCAACTCATTTTGTAGATGAGAAAACTCAAGATCAGAAGTTGAATAAACTCAGGATCTTGAATTAATTAGGAGGCATATTAAGAGCTTAAGGATGCTAATCTCAGGTTAGAATCTCAAGTCCAATGTTATTTTCATCATATGCCCTAAAAAATAGCTGGTAGAGGGATTCTTCGTACTATGAAAAGAACTCTAAAGTCCCTCAGTCGTAGTACTGTCTTCATAGACAATCCTATAGGCAGCTAATATTTACCAGTAGGAAGCTGGGCTGCTGCAGGTGAGGGAATGCCATAGCAGTCTCCCGTGAAGAGTTGATAACTGTTGCCTTAGGAAACCACTGTTAAAAACAAAGACAAAACTCAGTATCTGATGGAGGGATAAAAGGTAAACAAATGCAGCAATGTGGATACTAGAGACTATGTTGAAAATGAAATATACAACTTGTGTATGGGAATGGGAGGGAAAAAACTGGGAGAGAGTGAAGGAAGGTGTGACACTGTCTAAAAAGAAATGTATGGGGGGGACAGGTAGGGAGGAATAAGTGGGAGATAAAGAGGGATAGGGTAACAATGATTTAAAACAAATGTACTAGCTGGGTGCTAGTGCCTCATGCCTGTAATCCTAGCTATTCAGGAGGCTGAGATCTGAGGATCACAGTTCAAAGACAGTCTAGGCAGGAAAGTCTGTGAAACTCTTTAACTCTATTTTTTTTTTTTTTTGGGTCCAGTCATGAGCCTGAACTCTGGGCCTGGGTGCTGTCCCTCAGCTCTTCAGCTGAAGGCTAGCGCTCTATCACTTGAGCCACAGCACCACTTCCCGCTTTTTTCTTTTTGCTTATGTGGTGCTGAGGAATCGAACCCAGGGCCTCAAGCATGCAAGGCAAGCGCTCTACCACTGAGCTACCTTCCCAGCCCATGTAAAACTCTTATCTTCAATAAACCACCAGAAAAGTGAAGTTGTGCTGTGGCTCAAGTGGTAGAGCACTAGTCTTGAGCTGAGGGACAGCGCTCAGGCTCAGAGTTTAAGCCTCACGACCGACAAAAATAAATAAATAAATAAATGGGGGAGGATGGGAGTGCAGGGATTGTAAGGGGAAACAAAGGAGGAGGCAACAATGCTTGGTAAGAAATGTACTCATTTCCTTGCTCATGTAATTGTAACCCCTCTACGGTATTTTCACAATAAAAAAAACTTATTAATAAAAATAAATAAAACAGGGACTGGGAAGGTGGCTCGGTGGTAGAGCGCTTGCCTTGCATGCCTAAGGCCCTGGGTTCACTTCCTCAGCACCACATAAGCAGGAAAAAAAAGCCGGAAGTGGCGCTGTGGCTCAAGTGGTAGAGTGCTAGCCTTGAGCTGAAGAGCTGAGGGACAGCGCCCAGGCCGAGTTCAGGCCCCACGACCGGACCCAAAAAAAACAAAACAAAACAAAAAAAAAACAAAAAACAAATGTACTTATTGCCATACTTATGTAACCCCCCTGCTCATCATCTTCCCAATAAAATGTACTTTACCTGACTTAAATAACTGTAACACCTCTGTATATCACCTTTATAATAATAATTTAAAAAAAAAAACTCAATATCTGCCACACAACAGAATATTAGACAATTTCACAATGTCCAGAACACCTTTGTATCTCAACCCACACCACAATGACCATTGCATAGTTTTACAGAACTGCCATTTTCACACAGTCCAGATAGCCACTTTCAGAGCTAAGTTATGATGGTGAATCTTTGGTGATGTTTGCCTAGTACTTGCTAGATATCAGGACTGGTTTTAATGGCTTCCTATATATTTCTTCCATTTAATCCTTAGTGACAGGCAGAATTCTAAAGATAGTTCCCAGAATCCTACCTTTTGGTTATTTAGCCACTTATCCAGATACTGTGGTAAAGGAATTTTAAGATGTAATTAAAACCCCAAGTCATTAGTCCTTAAGGTGAAGCAGTGTCCAGATACAAGTTCCTAGTTCCAACTAGATTGTGCCAGCAATTTGAAAAAGCTTGGAAAAATATTTCCTAGAGTCTAGAGACAAGAGCAAAGCTGCCAACACCTTGATTTTGATATCCTAAGTAGAAAGTTCAGCGGAGTCTGGACTTCTGACTATGTAACTATAACATACGTGTGCTGTATTAGGCTGATGTTTGCTAGCCAAGAATAAAAAAATGTATCTTCACAACAACCCGACGAGGTTAGAATGAATGAGGAAATGGCACAAAGAAGCTAAATCACTTGCTGCCACCCAGCTAGTAAACAGCAGAACCAAGATATGAACAACCTGACCTCCTTACAAACCTCTCACAGATTGTTGGGTAAAGCATATTACTTGTGATGTGCAATGAATGAAAGTAGGGAAAGGCCACATTCTGCCAGGGAAGTCTTTGAAATAGCCAGCAGAAAATTAGGAAAGGCTCTCCAGATTCTTCTCTGCCCACCCTCCTCAGAAGTAGAAAATAACCACTACTAAGCCGGGCGCTGGTGGCTCACGCCTGTAATCCTAGCTACTTAGGAGGCTGAGATCTGAGGATCTCGGTTCAAAGCCAGCCCGGGCAGGAGAGACCGTGAGACTCCTATCTCCAATAAACCACCAGAAAACCGGAAGTGGCGCTGTAGCTCAAGTGGTAGAGCGCTCGCCTTGAGCTGAAGAGTTGAGGGACAGCGCCCAGGCCCAGAGTTCAAGCCCCACGACTGACAAAAAAAAAAAAAAAAAGAAAAGAACCACTATTGGACTGAGAAGCTCATAGAGTTCCACTGATGGGCTAGTGATGGTTTTCTTGGCACAGCTCTGCCCAGCACATGAGACATGCTGAAGTGGTAACTGGTAGTATGGAGGTAGGAGCAGTTGAAGTATTGGTAGGAAATTCTTTGCCACGTGGAAGTTACTGCTCTGTTTACCTGACCCACCCTCTTCTGCATGTGTATCTGGGCTTCGCTTCCTCCCATCATTTCAACACCTGAGTTTTTTTTGTTTTTATTTTTTTGGGGTAGGTCCTGGGGCTTGAACTTAGGGTCTGGGCTCTATCCCTGAGTCTCTCTGTGCTCAAGTGGCTGCCACAGGGCCTTTCAGCTTTTTCTGTTTATGTGGCAATGAGGAATTGAAGACAGGGCTTCATGCATGCTAGGCAAGCACTCTACTACTAAGCCACATTCCCAGCCCCATCATCCAATTTCTTTAGGAGCTATCTGGCTTCTTTTTATAGTATCAGTCCTAGCCCACGGCAAGCAGGACAAGTTTTTCACCATTGCCAAGACCTCCCTCTAGCTGTAGCATGCCTCTGTTTAATGCTTTTTACAAAACTATGGAGTAAAATGTTGAGATTCTTCTATTTCAAAGGGGGAAACAGGCTCGGAGAAATTCAACAACTGTACGCCGAGGGTGGAGCCAGGACCCACACTCGGTTCTGCCGCTAACACCGCTAGCAGAGCCTAAGGCTCAACTTAAACTTAAAATCATCCCCTCGTTCAACGAACGTTGAGCGTTAACCGAGCACCGAGCACCCTTCATGTTGGGCTGTGCAGACTGCTCGGGATGGTGGAGTAAAGTTAAGACCCCTGAGGGTGGCAGGAAAACACAGCCGCCGGCCCGGCTCTGGCAGAGTGGCCCGACCTGGGCCCGGCCTGAGTCCTGGGGTTCTAGAAGGAACGGAGAGGACTTCGGCGAGGGTTCGAGGAAGCTGCCGCGGTGCGGAGCCGACTCCCAGGCGGTTACCCACCTTTTCCCCTTCCCCTCTTTCCCTCCCTCTCCTCCCCCCCGCCCCCCAACTCACCTGTGGGATCGCTGGCACAGCTGCCCTCAGCGCTGGGAGCCGCCATTCTGCCATCCAGCGCCGAATTGTCGTCATCAAGCTGCGCGCTGCGTCACGCCCCCCCAGCCCGGCGGGAAAAACGCCCCTACCTCTGCGGACAGCTATCTCAAAAGGCGCATGCGCAATACGAAGGCCTGCCCGAGCCAGGGAGGCGGGCCCGCTGTAAAAAGCGCACGCGCAACGGGGTAACTGTAGCCCGCCAGGAACAGCTTGCGCATACTAGCTTCAGCTTTTTAGCTTCTTCGTGGAATGCTCCCTTAGTGACAGAGCCCCAGCGGAACAAGTATATACTGTAGTGAATGTCCTTCGTCCAACAGACTTTTGTTGAGTGCCCACTATATTGGGCATTCCGCTATGTACTGCGGCCTAAGTGAGCATGACCAATGCAGTCTGGCAGGGAACGTTTGATCGCCAAGGAGCGCACCTCTGTTTTCCACCACAGCATCCCAACGCCTGACACTAGGCGTCCAGTACACGTCCAGGGCTCAAAGGGCGACGTGGAGATGGCTCGGGTTCGCGGCCCAAAGGCCCAGGGCTGTTTGTCCCTATCCGGACGTTGTAGGGAAAAGGGTGGCGGGCCGCGGCCGGTAGAGGGCGCGGTGGGAGCGCCGGGCGGGCTGGTGGGCGGGGCCGGGGCCGGGTGGGCGGGGCCGGGGCCGGGTGGGCGGGGCCGGGTGGGCCGGGTCGCTGCGCGCGCTTTCCCTCGGGCTGAGCCGATGGCGTCTCCGGCCAGCGGTCCCGCGCACGCAGCAGCCACCGCGATGGAGGCCGCAACCTTGCAGAAGCTCGCGCTGAGACGGAAAAAGGTGCTGAGCGCGGAGGAGATGGAGCTATACGAGTTGGCCCAGGCTGCGGGCGCCGCTGTGGACCCTGACGTGTTCAAGTGAGCGGGCGCGGGTGGGGGCCTTCGCGCTGCTCGGAACCATCCGCACCCCTGCACCCAGATCTCCTCCCGGCCGCTGCTCGATGGTCTCGAAGAGCCCTGTTTATCGGGATCTTCAGCAAAGTGGCTTCTTGTGGCCATGCCGGGTCCGCTGTTGTCAGAGCAGGCCTCTGCCCTGGGTGGGGTGTGTTCATTGAGCACTGCGTTTGTTTTCCCCAGGATCCTGGTGGACCTGCTGAATCTGAACGTGGCCCCCCTCGCCGTCTTCCAGATGCTCAAGTCCATGTGTGCTGGGCAGAGGCTAGCGAGCGATCCCCAAGACACTGCAGCCATATCTCTGCCCACGTCCAGCATGCCAGAGACCCGAGGTTAGAGCTGGGCCCCAATGGCAGGGGTGGCTGGACACAATATCAGCTTATCTCTGGACAGCCAGACTTGTCTGTCTCATCCCATTTGCCATCAGGGACCCTAGTTTGGCAGCCACTTCGGGAAGGACACTCCCAGATCAGGTGGGGATGGGTGGTACAAGCAGTCTAGGGTTTGTTTGCCCAGCTTCTTCCCAAGTATGCCTTCCTTGACAAACTTGGGGGGGTGGGGGTGGGGAATGATGACTTTGATCTCTATCATCCTAAAACCACAGCCTCCACAGAAGCACTCAGAGAAACACTGCCCTTATCCTTCCCTCTTACCTCTATCCACCCAGGCCCAGTCCTATCTTGGGATGGGGCCAGCAGAACTTCCCTCCAAAGATTGTAAGGATTGCAGACCAAGTTATCAACTTCTCCAGATTACAGAATAGAGCCTGTGTGAACATGCAGGTTTGAAGGGCTTCCTTGTTCTTGTAATCGTGACAGAATGGGCAGGTGCTGACCACCAGACTGTATCATGGAGGAGCCTCTGGTCCCTGCTCTGATTCATCTTTTGTAATGCTTTTACCTGCTGCTTCCCTCCACTCCCCCATAGTCTTGGGACCCCCCTTGGCAAAGGGAAGGAGGTCAGGGCTAATGTCCCACCTTGGAAGCACCCAAACAAGCTTCCAGGACAGGCTGGGCCATGGGGAGGATTACCAGGACCCTCCCAGGTATCTTCACTGACCCACCCTCTGTCTACTCTCTTTGTGTTTCTCTCTGACCTCCAGAGGCCTTTCTCTCTGCCAGGAACTGTAGTCCCCCTGCAAGGCCCTCCTATTCCTCTGCCATGCGGCCTGCAGCCTCTCCAGTTCTGCTCCACTGTCCAGCTGCCAAGCACTCGCCTCTCTCTCCAGGGGCCCCTGCTTCCCTCCGGTTCTCTTGCTGCCTGTTCTCTCCTTTCACAGGTCGCGTTTATTGGCTTATCTCTGGGGGTTGGTGTGCTCTCTTGTTATCCTCGAACCACCCATGACCCTACAAGGCCAGGGCAGCACTCAGCTGCAAAGGTAGAACCACAAATGTCATTTCAGCCACATAGCTTAGAGCCAGACCATGTTGTCCGTATATCAGACACTTGAGTCAGGCACAAGTGACTTGCGGTTCAGTGGTTCATGCCTATAATCCTAGCTACTTGGGAAGATGATATGAAGATCACATTTTAAAGCCACCCCAGGCAAGAACCTCTATGAGATTCTTATCTCCAGTTAACCACCAAAAAGCTGGAAATAGAGGTGTGACCCAAGTGGTAAGCACCTGCCCTGAGTAGAAAAAGCTAAGGAACATTGTCCAGGCCCTAAGTCTTAAGTCCCAGTACCAGCACTGAAAGAAAGAAAAAGAGAAGGAAGGGAGGGAAAAGAAAAGACACTTTAGGGCGGGGAGGGTGGCTCAGTGGTAGAGTGCTTACCTTGCATGCTTGAGGCCCTGGGTTCGATTCCTCAGCACCACATAAGCAGAAAAAAAAAAAGCCGGAAGTGGTGCTGTGGCTCAAGTGGTAGAGTGCTAGCCTTGAGCTGAAGAGCTGAGGGACAGTGCCCAGGCCCAGAGTTCAGGCCCACAACCGGACCCAAAAAAAGACACTTTACCAAAGAGACAGTTTTTGTTGTTGTGTTGTTTTGTTTTGTTTTTCAGTCATGGGGCCTGAATTCTGGGCCTGGATGCTGTCCCTCAGCTCTTCAGCTCAAGGCTAGCGCTGTACCACTTGAGCCACAACACCACTTCCGGCTTTTTCTGCTTATGTGGTGCTGAGGAATTGAACTCAGGGCCTCATGCATGCAAGACAAGCACTCTACCACCGAGCCACCTTCCCAGCCCAAGACACAGTATTTCTAGATTGTGTATTTGGCCTGCTGTTGGGCAATGAGACCAACAACCCCCATACCCCAGAAGTGAACTCTGATAGGAAAGACTTTGAGGCTATAAAGGATGGGTCCAAGGGAAGGAAGCAAAGCCATGGATAAGACAGCATGGTGTGCTGTTAGAAACACAGTCTCAGGTTGGAAAACCATCTGGCCTTTTAGGCACTGATCCCTTCCTGGGTGGAAGGTCTAGAAGAGAGAATAGATGGAATAGATGTTCCCCTTCCTCCCAGCTTCCTTAGCAGGACCACAAGAATAACATGTACTTGTACCTTAAGTCACACTTTTAAACTGAGCCCTCTTTCTTGCCTCATTTCTGAGATACCTTCCAGGTGGTTCCAGGAGCTCAAAGCCAGGGTGTGTCAGATCCAGGGGTGTTCTGATTGCACCCTCCTCCTCCCATCCTCTCTCCAGGGAGGAAAAGAGAGCTGAGGAATCCCCAGGCCAATTTACAGGGGAAGGGAATAACTAGGCCTAGGGTTCCCTTAGTTCAAGGGGATGGTGCTACTCACTAGCTCAGTGAGCCCAGGCATATCGGAAAGATTGGGGACATACCTTTGGTCAATGAGAGAGGTGGCTAGACAAACTAATGATGATAGGCATGGGAGGAGCTTCACAGCCACCAGAGCAGAAGGGTAAAGCAGGTAAGGGACACAAAAAGCTACTTGGGTAGGACCCTGCAGCCTATTACATGGCATGGTGGGACAAGGCAGAGTGCAGTGTAGTGGCCTGGGCTGTGTGTGTGTGTGTGTGGGAGAGAGAGAGGCAGAGAGAGAGAGAGGGAGGGGGGAAGAAAGGAAGGGAGAGAGATATATCGGTACTGAGTCTTGCACTCAGAGCCTTAGCTTTTTTGCTAAAGGCTGATGCTCTAACACTTGAGCTACAGCTCCACTTTCAGCTTTTTGCTGGTTAATTGGAGATAAAAGAGCTTCTTTGACTTTCCTACCCAGCTGGCTTCAATCTGTGATCCTCAGATCTCAGCTTCACGAGTAGATAGGATTACAGGTGTGAGCCACCAGCACCTGGCCTTTGTTATGTATTGTCTGGCCTGACCTGGGGTAGGAGAAAGGAAGAGGGATAGAGGGATGAGGCTGTGGAAACATGGGCACAGAAGGGGTTGGAAGGATCAGGGGCATTATGTGAATGATTGGGAGTCCCAAACAGGAGAACCATGAGTAGTTCCACAAGAGTTGGCTCTCAAGGGTCCAGTCATAGAAGCATAGCCTAGACCCTGGTTGTGGGAAGACACAGAACCCCTGAAGAGATGCTGGGGGCAGGGGGCAGGGGACCTGGAGAAGCTGATTAATAGGGAAGAGGCAGAAGTGGCTTAAGCCAGGAATGACCTGCAGGCCATCAGATGAGACACAGGAGTGGCTGAAGAGGTGCCTGAGAGATAGGGTAGGACAATAGATCAAGCCCCGTGAGCAGTGTGCTGGGGAACAGCTGGTATGGAGTTTGCATTTGCGTGAGTGCTTACTCAAAGAGGAACTGTTGTCTGGAGCTTGTACCTCTGACTCCCTAAGGGTCATAGTTTGTGTCTGGCAAATCTCAGACTCAAGATGGAAACATCTTCCCTGCCCTGCCCCATCCCCACCTACCTGGTCAGTACTAGTGCCCATTTTTAACCCTACCCATCACTTACTTGAAACCTCTGCTTACTGTGCAGCCCCTACACAGAACATGCTCTACAGATTCAACTCATACTTTGCTTATTAAACTTGACATTATTATTTGAAAAAATCTAAGGTGAGAAAATAAGAGGAGTCAAAGTGATGCATTTATGGGGCTGTGATGGCCTAGGATGACAGTGCGAATTTATTTTATTTAAACATTTTTATGGTGATACTGGGGCTTGAACTCAGTCCCTTTTTCTCCTACATCTGACATATACTACCGTTTCTAGCTTTTTGCTGGTTAATTGGAGATGAGTTTCTCAGGTTT